TAAAGGGAAGCCAAAAGGAAAAGCACCAAAAATGGGGGGCGCAAGCCTTTAAACACACACACACACACACTGCTCAGTTCTTGGGTCCCAAATTCAGGCTTGGTTTCAGCGATCTGATTCATTCCGAATCAGCGCCTATGTTTAACGGAAAACTAAACGATCAAAAGGACACCTGTGCGTACTCCGGGGCAATTCTGTGGGCTGGAGCTGCCAAAAAACGCAATGGTTGCAAGCATGGTTTCTGGACGGTGGGGCGAGAAGCGGATTTCGCAACCATCCACAGTATGGCGGGAAAGGATCCGAACAATCAGCATGAGGACAATCTTCAGGGAATCACGGGCCATGGAAGGAGTCTTGGCCATGCCTCATATGGCTCTGTCGGTTGATGTTCCTTCACCCTGGGTGATAGAGTAACCCAGTGCTATTCGGACAGTACCAAGACCTAGCCGGGCATTCAACTAGGGGCAGTGCAAATTTTCCCGGATACAACCGGGTCCGCTCAGGCCGTCCCGTGCCTCAAACACCTCCTGATGTTCCTTCACCCAACAAAAAATGCCAAAAGTCTCAACCAAACCCCAAGAGTCCTTGAAAGTCCCTCAGTTGAGTCACACTCAAAACTTGGTGCAAAAAAATGTGGCACCCAACTATTTCCGGCCGGGACTGCCCCTAAACCTACCCTTCATCTACCGGGTTTTGACTGTGACCCAGTTGCCCCGCCCAGCCAAACGGCACCAACCAAGCTTGGTTGACGTTGGAAGGGGAGCAAAGAATCAAATTTTATCAGTGAAGTGGTTGGATTTCAACCACTAAACCTAGAAAATGTTTCCCAACGGCGGCTAGGTCCTCCAGTACAGAGGTTAGAATAAGGGTACCAACTGTATTCTGTAGTCTGTGTTAGTAGGGGAACCCCCCCACCCCAAAAAAGAAGGGGCTAAAAAGGGCACCAATTGCTGGACCTAGCCAACCATGAACCTCCCTCCAGCTCCCGCGGCTAAGGGATCCACCGCGGATCCCGAGGATCTCGAGGCGCGGATGCGCCTCCAGGAGCTCACGGAGCTGCGCCGCGGCGAGGGCTCCCCCACCGACAGCCGCGGCGAGGGCGCGCCCGCCCCCGCGCTCGGCACGCCTCACCGCGGTTGGCACGGGGGGGACGTGGGCTGTGGGCTGGGTGTGGGCGCCGCTGATCCAAACTATCCATGATTCTAGGGGTTGATTCCTTTTCCGTTCTTTTCAACCATCGTTCTTTCCAAAAGGCGGATCCGTTTTCCCTGGGTTTCCGGAGGTTTTCTAGAAAGAAGGATTGAGGGAAGTCACCAACCCTACACCTAGGGAGACAACAAGCCTTTGGGTGGCAAAACGCATGGGATTTGTTTCAGGGGTATGGTCTTACCTTCTTTCCAGAAACCATGACCCCTAGCAAACGGCTAGACCTCAAACTATTGCACCTGGACCCTCATAGAAAGGGAAGTCACCAACGATAATTGTGGGTTGCAAAAAACAATTTTTAAAGGACATCTGAGGGACCAGGTGGCAAATTACCCCATATCCACACCCCACAATGAGTGATACACGCCGCCTTTGCTTGATTACCAGGAGCCTCCAAACACCGATAAACAGGCCATAGTCATAGCCAAGAAAAACCAGCGATTGAAGGTAGGACACATTCACAGGCGTTTGAAGCGCCAGGTTTCTGGAGACGTGTGACCCCCTGACAACGCGAGTCATAATCAAAACCCGGTATCAAAATGGTCGTAATCCCAGAACCATGTAAAGAATTAAGAAGGCGGCCATAGCTATTTATAGTTGGGAGTATTCCTTAAAGGCCTTACTAATGTTCATCTACCCGGGTTTTGATTGTGGCTCACGTGGTTTGGCCCACCATGGGTGCTACAGGGTACCCCAAACATACTACACGAGTCTACCCCGAAGTTAGTCGCACATGGGTTATACAGGGTACCCCGAAAAATCCCCCCCAAACAAAAAAGGTGCATGGGTGCATGCCTGGGCTGTCCGTTTTCTGATCCCCTGCGAAAGGTCGGAAAACAATTGAGTGGGTTAAATACCTAGGTGGTCCACTAGAGAGGTTAGAATAAGGGTACCTTTTTTTCTGTAGCCTGTTTTAGTAGAGGAAAAAAGGGTAAAAAGGCACCACTGGGGGACCTGGATACGGAAACCCAACCACTAAACCAACCAAACACATTGCCAAAATGCCCCAAGATCAGTGGTACATGGGTTGCACAAGGTCCCAAACACATGCCACCTGCACAGCGGGTTCTGTTTTCCGGGACTTAGGTTTGTGCTTGTTTTTTGAGACGGGATATGTTCTGTTTCATACCTAGCCTACACTTTATTTTGCGGGGCGACCCCAGCTTTGCGCGGGCACCTGATTTCCAACCATTCCCATAGTACCGCTGAAGGTGGCATCTACTTGGCCCCCGCAAAACTAGGTGAGAATTTTGGTTACCAACCTTTTTCCTGTAGTCTATTTTAGCAGGGAACCTTCCCCCAAAAACTGGCAAAATGGGCACCACTGGGGGACCTAGATAGACACAAACCGGAAGTTGGAACCGATCTTTGGGCCAGTGGGTACGTGGTCCTTTGCGACTTGTTCCCGCCAATTCGCGTGCCCAAAAAATGATCCACGAAAGAGGAACCGCCGTTTTGGGGCAGACGCTCCATTGAGGGGAGTGATGCGGGCAAATAACTTCACATCACAAGCCGGAAATCACATGACCCCGGGATTGGGAGAAGGAGCTAAGGTTCCTTCCGTCAAAGTGCCAAGCACTCAAACGACCCCAAGACCTTCATGCAGTTTCACCCATCTTCGGGGCCGCTGGCTTTATCACCAAATCGCCTGAGTTTGACCCAAAGTTTAGGCCGGAAAACCAAAAGTTCCACATAGGCCATTTGACTTGCACAACTGCCACAGAATCTCAGTTCCCCAAGAACCAAACATGCATGTCGCAAACCACACCGGTTTCATTTGCCCAAATGGCGAGGGAGCTAAGCCTTAGGTCCTCCAGTAGGTTGGATTAAGGGTACCAACTTGTATCCCGGCCCTATCTTAGTAGGGGAACTCCCAACCAAAAAGGTGGGGTGAGAAAGGGCACCTAGCTGGGGGACCAAGGATAGGTAGCTTCTCCAAACAGCAGACCACATCTCCATCCCCTCACCGGGACGCGGGGCCTGTGCCCTGGGCGTCTTGTGGCACTCCTCAGTCGCGCGGCAAAGGGTCCGGCCATGCCGAGAAAGGACCGCGACGTGGGCGAACCGAATATAACAACTGAGATCAACATCACTCTGTTTTTTGCCTGCATCCTCAGGCGTGGCTGGGTGAAAGCCATGCGGTCAGCCCCACCACTTTTGCCTGCTTGCACTACCAAAACAAATAAAAGGCAAAGGAGTAATAACAACAAAACAAAAACAACACAAACATAACTGGTAGAACAATATCCCCCCCCAAAAAAAAAGAGGACGAAAGAATCAGAAGCAAGTAACAAACAACACACAACCAGCTATATATATATATATATATATTGCCCTGCCGCATTTACCTGTGGGCATCGAACATGTTCGGTCTCAGCCAGCTCGTGACTTTATAAGGGCCGCCCAGAAACTGGAAACGCACATTAACATGGCAGGCATACTAAATAAGGGCGTGGCCTTTTCTTCGTGATGCCCTGTTTTATTCTAGAGAAGTGCAATTGCTGGGCTGCATGACTGCATGGTGCTTCCTTGAATGCATCCAAAAGCCAGCGGTCCACACGTATGGCCATGTCCTTTTTGGTGCACTCGGGTTCTCGTTGCCTACGGTTGGGCAAGTGGGTGACCATGGTTCGACCGTGGCCTGGGGTGATCGTCCCCTGCTAGTCATGGACTTATAACCTACTTACCTGACGGTGGCTGAACATTCAAGTAGAAAATGGATGGCGATTCCTGGTTGACAAGGTCCTCCGGCAGAGAGGTTAGAATAAGGGTACCCTTTTATCTGTAGTTTATTTTAGTAGGGGAACCCTCCACCAAAAAAGTTGGTAACAGGGCACTACTGGGCGACCTGGTTGACCTTCCCCAAACAAATCTCACCTGTAGCCCTTGCAACCCGTTCTCCCCATGCGTTTTTTTATCGCCGAAGTGTCGGGCGTATGGGCTGCCAGTCTCCGCCATGGCGTTTTATGGGCTTGAAGGCAAGTCGAAAGCGCAAGGCCCAAAGGTCAAAGCGTCCAGAATCGTTGATTTGTAGACAACATCTAAGTCAGAAACCGCCAAAGACCGGAAAGCAGATACAACACAAACAAACACATCCTTCATTTATGATGTCAGGGTTACTGATCAAAGGGCTACTCATCACACAAGCTGCGGTGTTCCAAAACATTCAGGAAAATTCGTTTTCATTCAGAAACATTCGGTTTGATTCAAAATACTTGTGTTTCATTCGAAAAACTTCTGTCTCATGCCGAAACATTCCCCAGCACAAAGAGCCAGCACATTCCTGGAAGAAACAACTTGGCTGCGCTGTGCATCTCTATCTCTCTCTCTCTCTCTCTCTCCCACTCTCTCTCTCTCGCTCTCTCTCTCTCTCTCTCTCTCTCTCTCTCGCGCTATCTGCCACAGTGTTTTTTTCAGCGCCTGGGGTACTTGATCTTGGGCGGAAGCTCTGAAACGACAGATTCCAAACTCCTGGCTACGTCATCTTTGATGACTCCCGGCGTCTGTTCCACCTGTTTTTTCCCGAGCCTGAAAGGCTTGTCTTTTTTGACATAGGACCATTTGGTCCACATCCAATCGTGAACTTCGCTCAGCTTGGATTTCCATTCTGACGTGTGCTTGCTGTCAAAACTTCTACCAAAAAACTTCTGACAGTATGGCTCCACAGTCCAAAACTCAGAGCTGGAATCAGTTCTGAAAGTGGCGACCCATCCTTGGCGCAAGCAATGCAAGCCACGGCTGCAAAAGTGAAGACCAAAGAACGAACCAACATTCTATGGCGGAAGACCCTTCCGCTAATTTGAGACATGGCCACTTGCCCGCTTGCAGGGCGCCGAGTGTCTGTGATCCTGGTGCTTCAACTGCAACACTCCTTCTGGCGGGCAAAGCTGAGCAAGTATGCCGGGGGATTCATGAAGCCTTGGTGCTCTGAAGGAAGGCGTTGACGGCTGGCTGCCTGAACCTGCTGCCCCATCCACAGCAGAGCCACGTAATCTGCGTCCAGCTGCAACAGCCAGACCTCTGGCTTTCTCTTCAGCCTCAAGCCTGGCCGCTTCTTCAGCCGCAAGCCTGGCTGTTTCAGCCGCAAGCCCTCTGGCTTTCTCTTCAGCCTCAAGCCTGGCCTTCTCTTCAGCTTCAAGCCTGGTTTTCTCTTCAGCCTCAAGCCTGGCTTTCTCTTCAGCTTCACTCTTTGCAAGTAAATCTGGGAAGTGCTGCTGCCCTTTCCCTTTCCCTCTTCCTCTTCCCTTACCCCTTCCTCTGCCTCTCCCACGGGCCCGCGCTGCAGCCCGGCTCTCCTGCAAGCTCTTCGCAGCTTCTTTCAGGGCTGCTTTTGCCCTTGTTTGCTTCACTTTCTTCTTTTCGCTCTTCAAGTCAGGGTCTCCCAAGTTGCCAGTTTCTTCTGCCTGCTCTAGAAGGTCCTCGTAGTCACTCAGATCCTCTTGAACATCCTCAGCAGCTGTCTTTTTCAAATCTGACTTCAGCAGCGCATGTTCTTGCTCTGCCTCGCTGTGTAGAAACAGCGAAAATAGTTGCATGTACAAATCCTTTTTGGCTTTGGAAGCTGGCTTTTGGCCGTAGTGCCCCAAAACTGTCTCACACTGCTTGGCTGTCAAGCTCAAACCCTCGGAGATCCTGGCACATAAGAGGTCTGCAGGTGCCCCAGTTTGCTGGAAGACCATGGGACCAAACTTGTTCTTGAGAACTGGCCGGGTCGGAATGGCCAGCCAGTCTTGCAAGTCTGTGACTGTGTGCCAAGACAGTGAAGAAGGGTTTTGGCCAAGCTCAAGCTGGTGGAGGCCATCATCCAGCGGCTCGCCCACTACTGCTGCTTCCCAAGCCAAAAAATTGTGCGTGCTTTTGGCCACAACCATCATGACACTGCCCTTCTCTCTGGCAGCCACAAAGCTGCCAGGGGCACCGACCAAGCAAGCGACACTGGGGCCAATGAAATCCTTCGGCTCCATACCTAAGCCTTTTGAAAGCAACAGCTCCAAGGCAGCTGCTTCTCCAAACCTTGGCTTTCCAAGCTCGTGGCAGAAACATGCCATAGGAAGGCAGGACTGCCACAAAAAAACAATTCGAACAATGCCGCAACAGATCTAAATCAACAAAGGAGCAGAGAGGTGTGAGAACTGCTTGGCCAAGTGAAGTCAGGGGAGCTGGCTTTGTATTTCATCACATTCTGAAACTCCTTCTTCATCTTGTGAGAACTTGGGTGGGTGGCCTGTGTAATCTTCTGCCCAAGGCCTCTGCCTGCGCTGGCAGCAGCTATCTGTTCAGGAGTCACTCTCAAGCTTGGCAACTGCCTCCCCTCCAAGACGCCGGAGTTCACCAATGAGTGGAATTTCCCACTCCTAGAAATCTGGTCGTGTCTTGCAGCCGCAAGCAAATCTTTCACCTTTTGGTGGGAATTTTCCACCACCACTGTGTCACCGACATGTCTGCATGCTGTCTGTGCCAGAAGCACTCCATTCGCAGCACCATGGCCAAGGCCACTCTTCCTGTCCATCTCGTTGGCCAAGTAGTGAAGTCTGACAAACGCTGTCTGCAGGCAGTGGATTTGGCCCAAGGGTTCAATGCGATGCCCTTCTGCTGCAAGATTCTCAGCAACAAGAATGCATTCCCACTCTTGCTGCATTCTTTCGCTGCCCGCAAGGAAATGCTCAGCACTGCACAACGCAGCATGTCTCCAAGGAGGCTTGCAGAATTCTGCAACCAGGCTCATCGCCCTTTCAGAAATCAAAGAGATAGCAAATTTGCAATGCATCTGCAAATGGTCTTCAGTTGCGTCATCTGGGTTGCCATAGAGCTGCTTCATGACCTCCACATTGAAGAAGCAGTGGCTGCAAATGTCAGCAAGCTCCTGCTTCCAGCCACCAAGCGCCATGTAGACCATGTGGTCCTGGACCTGACCCGCCGTGTTCACATCTGCCGCTAGATGGCTGTATTTTGACCAGAGTGGCCTGCCACCTTCATATATCAAAGTCTTCTGCCACATGCTCTCCTGGTTCACCAAGGCTGGCGCCAGCGCCCAGGTCCCAAGCTTGATCTTCAAGTGCCTGAGCTCTTGCTGAGGTGTCATTCCTGCAGTGTCCGGGTCAAAAGCACTGGGTTGAAAGTCAGCTTCGCCATCTGCAGCTTCCCAGGTGTTCCCATGCAGCATCAGAAGCTTTGTGAAGAACACTTCTCCAGAGTGGAATTTGCAAGACTCCCACCAAGAATACCACCTCATCAATTTGGTCAAAGGACCATGGATTTGGCACCCCTTCATCTGCTTCATGGCCGCCCACATTCTCTCTCTTTGTTCTGCAGTGCCGTCTTCAACTTCGCCCCTCTCCTGACAAATGCTTGCCATGTAAGATAGGAAGGGGTTGCTGTGGCAGCTTCTCTTCTCACAAAACTCATGGAGGGCGTGCCTTTTGCGAGTGAACCAAGTCTTGGTCCCTGCAGGCCCATAGTTGATGTTGTGGACGACACCGAAGGCCAGGAAGCTCCTGAACAGTCTGCTTGCTCTGAGGGATGCTTTGAGGTCGTTGTAGCACCGGTGTGTGCTGTCGTATGCCACTAAGATCCCGAGAGGCAGCATAAACTGCACATAGTCAAGGACCCCTCGGTTTATTCCTCCCTGGTCAGAAACACTAGGCTGGTCGCGGAAGGTCCAGCCTTGCGGAAGCTGCCTTCTGCACTCCCCAGTCACTGTGTCAGTGACCCAAAAAGCACCATCTATGAAGTCTCTTTGCTCCTGCCTCTTCAGAGGCTTCCACACAACATCCTGCGGCAGCAAGAACTTGGACAAGTCTTTGTCAATTGCAGCAAGAGCGTGCGACACAGCACGAAGCTCAGAAAAGCCGTGCACCCGCGTGATCTCCTTTCTTTGGGCAAGGGCCTGTATGTCAGGCTCTACTTCTTGGCTTCGGACAGGCTGCAAGTACTGTAAGGGCAAATAGGCAGCTTTGTTGCACTGGTTGCTCCACACTGTGCAAACCATCACCTCGTCTCCAGAATAGTTTGAAGGGTCCCAGGATACTTGCAGGTGGGCGCTGCGCTTGAAGGTTTCCTTCAGCAGCTTCAAGTATTCTGAAACCTCAAGGAGGTCCTCATGCCTCACAATGTCTGATGTAGAAGGGACAAGGTCAGAATGGGTTCGCATGATGCTCTTTCTGTGCGACTTGGCATCCTTCAGCTTGCGCAGCAGCACCAGCCTGTTCACAAACGGCACCCTTTTCGCGTTGCCCCGCTTTGTCTTCAGCAATGGAGCTGCCTCTGGCGCCTTCTCCGCCAGCTTCAAGGCATACTCTTCCACCGCGCAGCCCACGATGTAAAGCAACCTTGGCCACATGTGTTGGCCGACTTCATGCCAGGCGCTGGAGGTAGACGCGCAAGCTTTCACAAAGAGGAGCCAAAGCATGAGGTCAAACACTGTGGCCTGCTCCAAGGTGCTTGTAATCTGCTGTTGGCACCATGGTTTGCCCTGCAACAACTTCCATTTGCTTGCTGCTTGCCTGTGATCCCCCACCCAGCTTGACAAGCCACTTGCAATGCCATTCTCGAACTTTATTCGGACGCACTCCAGGCCACCACAAACAGGTACTGCAAGGTCCACGCAGCCTGTCCACGCCTGCATGGACCTGTCTATGAGGGCCTTGAGCAATCTCAGTGACAGCTCCTTTGCCTGCTTCCTAGTCTGCCGTCTCAAAGGGAAAAGGCAAAGCATTAGAACCAAGGCTCTGGACTCCACAGTGTGCCTTCCCACCTCTCCTCTGCCAGCATCTGCCCCTCTGTAGTGAAGCTCATCCATGCTCAGCTGGGCATGGAGAAACTCTGTCTGAAACTCCTCAAGGCCCCTTTTCAGAAACAGGCCATCTTTCTGCGTTTCAAGCTTCACAGCCGCACTCACTCTGGACCACTCCCACTCTATGTGCCCACGCCTGTTTACCTGCCCAGTGAGGACAGCATCATCATCAACTCTGCAAAGAAAGGGCTGCACTTGCAGCCCTTCCTCTTCGTCTGCCATGGCGACACATGGCCCTACAAACACTTCTGCGGTGGCTCTCTGTCTGGTTCTGGCTGGTTGTCAAAATGTTGGTTCCCAGTGTAGCGTAAATCGCCATGCCAGGGGGGCCAGCCTCATCCGGGCCATATAAACACATGACCGTTACTGCGCCGTAGGTTTAAATGAGAAAAGTACAAATGACTGACAGGCGCACTAGCGCGCGCCTTTTCTTAGCTGCTTTGGGATTAGCTATCTGAGCTCCTTTCAGATTGGCTTTCTCTCATTTGGAGCATGGCGCCCAGTAACTACGCAACCTGACTTACAACCACAGCCTAGAAACGTGCAAGCGGTTCTTGGATGTTGCCCCCAACAAGGCACGTGCTCTAGTGTTCAGTTTGGCAACTGCCTGCTAGCGCGGTGCTAGCGCGGAGCTAGCGCGCGGAATTGCCTATGTTTTCATCTATTTGTCGCCACTCTAGTGTTGTTGCATAAAGGGGCCACTGCGCAGGATGCATGAAAACATCCGCATCTCACATTCCACGTCCCTCCTGGACTAGACTATAGGCCAACACTCATATGAAGCCCCAACTGCAAAGCTAACTTTCCCGTCCTAGCGCCGAGCTAGTGCCAAGCTAGCGCTGCCGGTGGGATTTACATGATTTAGGTGGGGGCCCGCTTCATTTCGAAAAAGAAAAAACAAACGCAACAGGAATTTTGCACATACTGTAGATAGCTCCTTAGACGGCCTTTTGGTAAATGGGTTCCCGAAGGCTTTTGGTAAATGGCTGCCCGAAGGCTTTTGGTAAATGGGCATTCGCATCCGAACTCCACAGGCTTTTGGCCAAAAACATCACCCCGTTTCAAGGGGAACAATTGGTTGATGCTTCTGGGCTGCTCTGAACACAGCGCCATCACCGAACCCAAAATGCTGTTTCTTGCACAGCATCACCACCACACCCAAACGGAGACAATCAATAGGGAAAGCAATCAATTGATGTTTCTGGATCGGCTCAAACGACCTCCTCTACCTTACTCTGCAAACAGGTTTCAAGGGAAACTGCCCAGAAACAACTCACAACATTTGATTGGGAAACAATCAGTTGATTAGCCATCGGTTTCAATCCCATGTGCAGCTTGCGCTGCAACAGGTACACTGGCGGTCTCATCACGGCCACTATCTTCAGGGCCAGCACAAGTATCTAGCTGGGTCTCTTGGAACATGGCAGCTCTGGTGAATCTTCTAAGGCTTCGCGCAAAAAAAAACCGTCACATGGCACCAAGCCTCCAACTAGCAAAAAAAGAGAGACCCAGGCATCTGACGCTTGCTGCGCCTCAGGTCCCATCATCGCTCAGGATTCTACCAAAACTGGACCACTTCAACACATCGCAGCAAAAACGAAGAACATTTCCCAAACATTCACAAAGATTCCAAAACATTCGGAAATATTCAAAAACATTCAAAAACATTCGGAAACATTCAATAAACTTCAAAAAAATTCGGGAAAATTCAAAAAACTTCAAAAAAATTCGGAAAAATTCGTTCCGGGAAAGCCTACAATTTGGCTTTGCTCTTCTCTCAAAACAAGGGGAAATGCTGGCCATTTTTTTGAAGCATTGGTTGCGGCTGTTGAAGTTGATTTTGGTTGGTTGTAATTGCGCGGTTACTTGTGGTTACTTGCGGTTGCTTGCGGTTGCGCGCGGTTGCTTGTGTTGAGAATGCTTGCGGTTGCTTGTGTTGCGGTTGTGGCTGCTTGTGGTTCGTTCTAACTGCTTGTCGCTGCTTGCGGTTGATGCCTGTGGTTGGTAGCGTTTGCTTGTGGTTTGCTGCGGTAGGCTGGTGGTTGGCTGGCTGGCTGGCTGGTTGGTTGGTTGGTGGGTTGGGCTAAGTGCGGGAGACAGCTTCACTACCAGGTTTCTGAGCCTGCCACACGCAACCAACAGCCCACGCATACAACATGCCAAGACATAGCAGCAAGTGACAGCTTCGTCTGAAACGGCCACGCTTGCGGTTTTCACTCCCGTTCTCCATCCACAGGCTCGGCGGTTTATACTTCTCAAGTCAGCAAGGAATCGCCAGCACCTTGGGTCACAAAGCCTTGCATTTAGGTAAGCTCGACGCGCACACACAGGGAACAGACTGCGCTGCCCAAGCACAGCTTCTCACTTTGATTTCATTGACGCGTCTCTTTTGCCTTAGGGCAAAACATCACCAGGCCTGCGCAACGCATTGGGTTATTGCTAGCGCCAATGTGGCCAAGCAGCTGAACATCGCTTCCACATGCTCTTTCGTTCGAACGCCTGTCAAAGGTTCCTAAAAGGAAACCGTCAGTTCTGGGTCAGGTCCAATTACACAACTACCCTCCAAAATAAAGGGAATTGCAACCCCAAAGCCATCAGCCCCACCCGAAACAACCAGGGTCTTTCTGGGTTGATTGACGTAACATCCTCAAAATTGCTCTCCAAAAAGTGGTTTCAAAGGGGACCGCCTCCAAAAGCCATCACCACACCCAAAGGGAAACAGCCAAGATGTTTCTGGGTTTAACTACCATCCTCAACGTTACTCTCCAAAAAATGGTTTCAAAGGAGACCACCCCCAAAGCCATCACCACACCCAAAGGGAGACACCCAGGAAATTTCTGAGTTGCACGAAATAGCATCCTCAGTATCTCTCTCTCCAAATAAGCGGTTTCAAGGGAGACCGCCGCCAAAGCCACACCCGAAGGGAAACAACGAGTTGATGTTCCGGGTTGACGAAAACACCATCCACAAAATTACTCCAAGAAGGTGATTTCGAGGGAGTTGCCCCCAAAAAACGCCGCCGCGCCCGCGGGATGGGTTAATGTTGCTGGGTTGCTTCCAAAAAACATTATCATCGCTACCCTCGCAAAGCAATGATTTCAAAGGAATTGGCCTTCAAAAATCGTCCTAGAGGGACAATAAGTTCGTGTTTTTTATCCTTGGAACTGCCTTCCAAAGGAGGCGACCGCCCCCGAAACCATCACCGCCCAAAGAGAAACAATAGGTTGATATTACTTGCTGAGTTGGGGCCTTTGAAAGATGGCACTAAGGGCGAACCCCCAAAAATGAGATGTCCTCAAAACGTTCACTGCGACACTGCGCGCAAAAAAGCAAGGGGGCCCGGCCTTTCTTCGGTAGCGCTTCCTTCTTCTTTCTGCCGCCCTTCTCCTCAGGCTCCTTTGTCTTCGCTTTCTCAGCTGCTTCCTTCTGGGCTTTCTCCTCTGCTGCCTTCTGGGCTTTCTCCTCTGCTTCCTTCTCGGCTCTCTCCTCTGCTTCCTTCTTGGCTTGCTTTTTTGCTTCCTTCTCAGCCTTCTCCTCTGCTTCCTTGTCCGCCCTCTCCTTTGCGTGCTTCTTGGCTTTCTCCTCTGCTTCCTTCTTGGCTTTCTCCTCTGCTTCCTTCTCGGCTCTCTCATCTGCTTCCTTCTTAGCTTGCTCCTCTGCTTCCTTCTTGACTTGCTCCTCTGCTTCCTGCTTTGCTTTCTCCTCTGCTTCCCTCTCCGCTCTCTCCTCTGCTTCCTTCTTGGCTTTCTCCTCTGCTTCCTTCTTGGCTTTCTCCTCCGCTTCCTTCTCGGCTCTCTCCCATCTTTCCTTCTGGGCTCTCTCCTCTGCTTCCTTCTTTGCTTTCTCCTCTGCTTCCTTCTGGGCTCTCTCCTCTGCTTCGTTTCGGGCTTTCTCCTCTGCTTCCTTCTCAGCATTCCTGGCTTGCGCCCATCTTTCCTTCTGGGCTCTCTCCTCTGCTTCCTTCTTTGCTCTCTCCTCTGCTGCCTTCTTGGCTTTCTCCTCTGCTTCCTTCTCTGCCTTCTCCTGCGCTTCCTGCTGTACTTTCTCCTCTGCTTCCTTCCTAGCTTTTTCCTCTGCTTCCTCCTCAGCCTTCTCCTTAGCCTCCTTTGCGATCTTCTCCTCGGCTTCCTTCCTTGCTCTTTCTTCGACTTCCCGTCTGACCCTCTCCTCAACTGCCTTTCTGATCCTCTCCTCGGCTTCCTCCTTGGCTTTCTCCTCTGCTTCCTTCTTGGCTTTCTCCTCTGCTTCCTTCTCCGCCTTCTCCTTTGCTTCCTTCTTGGCTCTCTCCTCGACTTCCCTTCTGACCCTCTCCTCGGCTTCCTTTCTGATCCTCTCCTTGGCTTCCTCCTTGGCTTTCTCCTCTGCTTCCTTCTTCGCCTTCTCCTCTGCTTCCTTCTCCGCCTTCTCCTTTGCTTCCTTCTTGGCTCTCTCCTCGACTTCCCTTCTGACCCTCTCCTCGACTTCCTTTCTGATCCTCTCCTCAGCTTCCTCCTTTGCGTCCTTCTCAGCCCTCTCCTCTACTTCCTTGCTGATCCTCTCCTTGGCTTCCTCCTTAGCCTTCTCCTCTGCTTCCTTTCTGATCCTCTCCTTGGCTTCCTCCTTGGCTTTCTCCTCTGCTTCCTTTCTGATCCTCTCCTTGGCTTCCTCTTTGGCTTTCTCCTCTGCTTCGTTTCTGATTCTCTCCTGAGCTTCCTCCTTGGCTTCTTTTCTGACCCTCTCCTCGGCTTCTTTCTTGGCTTTCTCGGTTGCTTCTTTTCTGGTCCTCTCCTTGGCTTCCTTCTTAGCTAGTTCCATGTAGTACTTCACCAAGTCCTCGTGGCTTTGCGGCGGGCCACTCCCCGTGTTCAAAGACTGCCTCGCCTGTTCAAAGCACGACCCGCTGCCAGCGCCGGTTGTCTTTGCAACTTGTTGGCCCTCAGCTTCTTCTTTGCCGGGTCCTGGAATGTAGAACAAAACATGAGCACGCTTCCCCGTGCAACATATACGTTGTTTTTCTTGCTATTGTGGCTAGGTACTACCACACCAAAAGCTCACGTTTGGGGGGCTAGGCAGGGCGGAAAGAAAAGTGAAATAACCCGACAGTCCTCTGGCCCGTGCAAATGCTTCAATGGTAACCTGCTTCTCTTCTTCTTTCGTTTCATAATCCAAGGGTTCCTTGTAATTCACGAGCATCGTGGCCCATGGTTGGTCAGGGCAAGCAGCTGCAGCAGCCACCTGGCAAACAAGTGGCTACTGGTGCGGTGTTGCCTGCGAAAAGGAGGCAAACTGGTAAATGGGTCAACTTGTTTGCAACCGAATGGCAAGCATGTTGCACCATTGCTGGTACTTGGCATCATCATGGAACACCTCCTTTGCCAGCATGGATTCCGCTTTGGGCGGTGGGGATCTCAGCAAATACCTGAAAACAGCTTGACTAGCCATGCAATGTGTGGGATGCTCGCCAGTCAAACCAGCTGCAAACAACAAAGAACATGTAGCTGAGACACTTCCCATCAGGGCTGTAAACCCAAGACGCAGGCACGCCGGCTGGAATGACCATCCTGGGCTTTCCACCTGAAAACGAAACCAAATGGTGAGTCAATTGGGCGATGAGGTCAAACAAGGGAAGCAAAAGTGCTTTTATAACCTTAAAAAGGGATGCATACTTCGGATTCTAGTCGAGCGACGGATAGTAATCATTCAACTAAGGGACCAGAAAAGCGTCTTCTTTCATAAAAACTGAAAACAGTATTAAAGTAGACCCCTAAGCTGACATGCTTCTGCGTGCTCCAACGACAGCCAAGGCGCCGTCCTTGCATTTGAGCCAAGTGTCACCGCATTTTGACAGCTCCACGAAATACACAGGCCGGTTGTCACTCGGCGCCTAGGCTGCCGAAACCCTGTGTGGTTCAAACTGACGAAATAACGATCGCGACACACTTGCAACAAGAACATGGAACCATCCCAGCACGCTAGTGCAGTCAGAAAAAAGAACCAAGTCGCCGCCGTCCCAGGCACTTTGCCCTGCACCACTTCAGACCAACCAAACTGCTCGGCGACTTCTTCCTTACTTTGAGGCCCATACAATCCATGCACCCACCCAAGGCAAAGCCACGCTACCACCTGGAAACCAAACAATGCCACGCTTCTATATTCCCGAAATCATCCTGGACTTCCAGCAATCTGTCACCCACCCTCGCCAGAAATCTCTGCCTGGCCTCTAGCAGCCGCTCCTTCCTGAAATGCGCTGCTGGACGCACATGACATGGCCTCCTCTTGCGCGCAAACCACAGTGGCACCCATGCACTCAGCCAAAGCTCACTTGCCCAAGGTTTCTGCATCTCATCTCCCGAAGCTTATGCCAAGGAGGGATCCCACAGCCCAGCCAAAAGGCCATCCCGACCTGCTGGTCGGAAAGCTGCTCCTTCACTCCATCCACGAACTTGGCGGGCTCGGTGGCCTTCAAGAACCTCAGCTGGTCCCTGCGGCACAGCACATTCACCTTCCCACCTTTTGTTTTATTGGTGGCAAGGTGGACCTTTGGCACCTTCTTCTTGTCCAACTCATTGCCTGGGCTCGTGACGTGAAGGCCAGCACCCAAGACGCACACATGCAAAAATGAACTGAAAACTGCAACCGGCCAGGTCAGCTGAAGATACACAAGTGGGCCTGTCTTTTTCGACGGCGCCCCTTTTTTGGTAGTCTTGAAACAGGAAGCTAAAGGCAAATCCTCGTTTTTTTGGTCCTCTAAAAAGACACGTTCAAACCCCTTGATTGAACAGTTTAGCCAACAGCCGCGCAAAACCCTTGCAAGCAACCAGCCAGTCATTGCAATGCAAGCAGCTAGATTTTGCATCTGTGCTTTCAGAGTCTGACTCATCCTTGGCGCCTCCACCAAGGCTGAATCACAAGTAAGAAGCACATACGCTGGCCCCCTGCTTCTGTTTTTAAAAATCTGCTGCAAACCTCCCACCTTTCTTGCGCTTGTCCTTCGCTTTCCCTTTCTTGGGCTTCTTCTTCTTCTTCTTGCCCTTCTTTTTTGTCTTCCTCTTCTTGGCACTGCTGGACCTTTTGGCTGCCAACGCAATGCTGCTTGGAGCAATTGAAAAGACAGGACAATGCAAGTGAGACTACTCTGTTGGGCAAACGGATCGCAAGCGAGTCAAGTGCGTGCAAGGCTCGAATCATCATCACTCCCAAGGTTGCCTGATGCAAAAATGCATTGTCCCCCCTTCTGCCTGAACAGACACCCAGCTAGAGCTGCCCAACAATCATGGGTGCAATCAAGGCACTTTCATCATATTCTTCATCGTCATCATCATCATCCCCCCCTTCAGACGGGGTCACATCAGATCCAGGGTGGCCCCTTGAACTGGAACCTGGGACTCCAGGGCTAAACTGCCCAGAAAACTGCGGTGCCTGATGGTAAAGCTGCATGCCAGGAGGTTGCTGCTGTCCAGGCTGAACATACATGTAGCCAGGAGGGTAACATCGCTCCGCAAAGGGCGCCACCTGCATATGCCTTGGCTAAACAAGCCTTCCCAAACAAAACACATGTCACAAGTCATTTTGCCAAACCTCAGTGTGGCTCATGCTCAGTCATACGAGCTGGCCAGTATATCTCCAAGAAACTCTGGCAGCGTCGTCTTTCTCTTCTTGTGGGATGGCATGGCTCAGAGTTCTTTGACCACCCGCTTTGGCAACAACATGTGGCATGCTGCGGTTCCTGACATCGGTTTTAAATGCATGCTGAACACCGTGTGCTAAGGGCATCATGCTAGGGGCCCTTTAATGAGAACGTGAAAAACCTTGGACTACTAGCGCAGCTATGAGCCATTGGCAGGCATTCAATGCAAATCCAATCCATTTGTGTCCCAAAGTCGCCCCAAAACAACTTGAATTATATTGAAGGAAAATGAAGTATTTTGAACGCTCCACGCAAGCCCCATGAGTGCCCCTCCTAAGAATGGCCCTATCCTCATAAAAGAATCCTGCCAAAACAACAGCTCAGAGCATGCAACACTTCCAGCGAAAAATAACATGCGGCGGGCATTGCAATGGCCAGTTGACAGAACCCTTTAGCCAATCAGAGTCCGTTTGTCACCGCCTTTTGGGATAAGTTGGGCATGCCAAAAGGAAGAAACTACCACTTGCAGGGACGGACACCATGATTTTTTGCAACAGCAGGGTTTGTCTTGTATGTCTATGGCATCACTCCAGAAGGGAACTCACTACCACGAGGCTTTTCCGGTCCATAGTCCGATTACACAAGCCTTTGGCGCATCGATTGATCTTTTGCCTGGAGCCATCACCATCGCAATGTCCCCCCGCCATGTGAATGGCCATGGGGGCAACCCAGACCCCATCGCTTGTACAAAACCCTGCCGGCACTAGCATGGTCTACTTAGGACCACATAACCTACGTACACCCACCAAGCTACTCACATGCAGTGGGTTGACTATTGGATTAGACATGGGTAGCTTCCTTTGGGGCGGTGGTGGGGAGTCTGTCCAGAATGCCATCTTGGTTGGCGTGGGTGGGGGGCGGGGGGGGGGGCTAAAACGAAAACTGGTTTCGGGTTCATGCACCGCCAACCCGGCATCCCCGCGCAGAGTTTCATAGTCCACAACCTTGACCCGACCAACCCACCCATCATCCACAAAAATACCCAAGGGTGAGGGCTCAAGCCCTATATGCGAGGAAGAAGGCTGAACAAAGTCTAAGGCTTTGCTAGATACCCACCAAAACATATGTTTGGGGGCGGGGGCGTTGGTAGGGTCGTCTGAACCCTTTGCAATCGACGCAGGGTCGTCAACCGAGCGCATTCCTGTGGCCAATGCTTTTCATGAACTCTTTTCCTTGTAACGGCAACCAAGGGTTTGCACCGAGACAGCCCTTAAGTCCAATACTGATTCAGAGCCAGGGCAATTTGCAAAGCAGGTGACTACTTGGATGTTCAACCGACGTCAGGGTAAGTAGGTTATAACTTTAACCATGGTAGCTGGGGGTGATCGTCCCCCTTATATCCCTGGTTACAAGCTACCTACTTAGTTGGTTCAACATCCAGGTATTAGGTGCTATCAAGCCGCTCACATGCGCCAGAGCTCTGCTTCTTTGACCGACGGCCGCGTGCGCACCAAGCCACGAGAAGGGTGAAACAAATGCGTCAGTCAAAGTGGTGACCCTCCTCCCAATTCCAAACCCCATGGACTCAAATTGAACAAGCATGGCAATTGAACGATTCAATGGTTGATCACGTCCAACCAAGAAAGCTGCAATACCACTGTAAGGGGCGATTCGTGTGGTTCCGTTGGTGACTTCCCTTAGCGTTCCCCTTTTTGGGCTTTCTAATGTTGACCTTGCGGATGACCGCTGAAGCTGACTTGTGAACAAACCGGCATAGTACAAACCTTGCTCAGCCAATGTCGTTTGCGAACTCGTTCAGCCCGAGGCCTCACTCTGAGCCGCCTGCGCACGAGTCATTCGGCGTATCTCCGCGAATGAGCGGGACCCTCCGAACTGCCAGGGACCCACGGCAAACTAAGGAAGAGAGCATCCTTTCATCATGGAGGCTGGGGGGGAGGCAGGGAGGGGAGGGAGCCCTAAATAAGCCCCTATTAAGCCCTTAATAAAGCCTTAGTTAGGGCTCCCTCCCCCTCCCCTCCCTTCCCCCCAGCCCCCATGATGAAAGGATCATGTTTGCAGGGGGTGGCCATCCCACAAAAGATAGCCTGCAAAGCTGGGAATATGCCGAGGTTCCGGAGAGACAATGTCGTTTGCGAACTCGTTCAGCCCGAGGCCTCACTCTGAGCCGCCTGCGCACGAGTCATTCGGCGTATCTCCGCGAATGAGCGGGACCCTCCGAACTGCCAGGGACCCACGGCAAACTAAGGAAGAGAGCATCCTTTCATCATGGAGGCTGGGGGGGAGGCAGGGAGGGGAGGGAGCCCTAAATTCGCCTCGGCCCCAAAGGGGCCAAGGGCGCTCAGATCTCTTCTCCAAAGAGAATCTTCGCTTTTCCCCTCCCCCAACCCCCTCCCCGACCAAAATTTTGCCGGGCCGCCCCCCCCAACCCATGTCGGCTGGACCCAAAATCCTGTCCGGCGGGCCTTGAAATTTTCGGGGTTCGTCGGCGTCCAGCTCCATGGGTCCATTTTTGTCGAAAATGTGCTGACAATTGCTAAAAATGCTTTTTTGTCCTGAAAAGCATGACCTCCTGGTGGCCAGGCTTGCCTGACGTGTCTGAGACTAGGCTCAGGCCCAGCCCAAAGCCCACCAGCCTCAGGCCCAAGCTTCAGGCCTACCCCAAGTCATCCAGCAAGCCCAGCCCAGCCAGGCCGGCCCCAAGGTCAGGTTTGTCTAACGTGTCTGAGACTGGCCTCAGGCCAACGGTGTCTGAAACTGGTCTCAAGCTATGCCAGCCACCAAGCCCGTCTGACGTGGCCCAGCCCTCAGTCCGGCTGCCCAAGCAACTCAGCCCAGGCTGGCCAGACCTTGACCTCCTGCTCGCGTCTGGCCCCAAATCAGCCAGCAGGCCCCGTCTCAAAGTGTGGCGTGTCTGCGACTGGCCTCAGGCCCAGCCCAGCCAACTCGCCACCCAGCCTCAGGCCCAAGTGTGTATGAAACAGGCCTTGCCCATCCAGCAACCCGCCCAAGCACAGCTCAGCCCAGCCCGCCCAGCCCAAGTTCCAGGCACAACCAGCAGCCTGGTCCGGCTGCCCGGCAGCCAGCAACCCACCCATGGCTTCGCAGCCTTGTGTGAGACTAGCTTCAGGCCCAGCCCAAAAGCCTGCCCAGCCCAGGCCCCAGCGCATCTCAGAGCATGCCAGCCACTACCAGCCCCCAACTCCCAGACCAGCAGGCTCAGCCCAGTGTGGTTTGTCTAACGTGTCTGAGACTGGCCTCAGGCCAACGACCAGTCTGAGACTGGTCTCAAGCTATGCCAGCTACTCAGCAGCCCAGGCTGACCAGGCCCCTTCAGCGCAGTCTGAGACTGGTCTCAAGGTATGCCAGCCTGAGACTAGCCTCAGGCCCAGTCCCTCAGCCCGCCTGCTGGCGTGTCTTACGTGTCTGCGACTGGCTCAGGCCCGGCCTGGCCAGCAACTCGCTACCCAGCCTCAGCCCATCCAGCGACCCGCCCAAGCACAGCTCAGCCCAGCCAGCCGAAGTTCCAGGCGCAACCAACACCATAATCCAGCTGCCCAGCACCACCCATGGCTTCGCAGCCTCGTGGCTGAGACTACCTAAGCCAACCCCACCCAAGCCCACCCGGTTTGAGACTCGCAGGCTATCTAGCGCCGAGACTGGGCCTCACCAGCCTGGGCTCAACTAGCGTCTAGCCCAGCCCCAGTCCGCCTGCTGGCCAGGCCTGTCTGACGTGTCTGAAACTGGCCCAGCCATAGCCCAGCCCCCTCAGTGCGGCTGCCCAGCCCGCCGTAAACTAGCTTCAGCTCAACCAACAACCCACGCAAGCAAGGTCCAGCCAAGCTGCCCGAGACTAGCTTCAGGCCCAGCGCAGGCTTATCTGATGTGTCTGAGACTAGCCTGTGGCCCAGCCCAACCAGGCGAGGCCGGCTTGTCTGACTTGTCTGAAGCCAGCTTCAGGTATTCGGACCTTCCCAACACTGGATTTCGGTGTTCCTGACCCTTCCCTCAAACTAGGCTGGGCCGAGGCGGGCAACGCGAAGCGTTTACAATAAGCCCCTATTAAGCCCTTAATAAAGCCTTAGTTAGGGCTCCCTCCCCCTCCCCTCCCTTCCCCCCAGCCCCCATGATGAAAGGATCATGTTTGCAGGGGGTGGCCATCCCACAAAAGATAGCCTGCAAAGCTGGGAATATGCCGAGGTTCCGGAGAGACAATTGCCGATGACCGAGCTCCGGACTGCGCATTAGGTCCCCTTTCATTCGCCATGTATGCGGGCACATGATATGCATTTATCTATATAATCAACAAATAGACACATATAACATAACACATAACATTCTGTATATAACATAACATATAAATATACATATATGCTTTTATGCTGCATATCCATATGCTCCCCCAACCCAAGGGAGATCCACTGTAGTGGCCGAAAAGGTGATTTTTAAACCACCAACCAGGGGTTCCCCTTGAAACCGATTCGCACAGTTCCAGGCGCCTGTAGATTTGACACACTAAGTGCCAAACATCCTCGGATCCACCTTGCCCTTTCCTTTGTGTCCTCCAAACAAACTATCCTGTCCGTGCAGAACTCCTGGTAGCCCGATAAGGCAACATGGGCTTGGATCTTAAAACGGCAAAGACCTGCAGTACAGGCGCGGCACGAGCGAAACCTGCGTACCTAGGAAAATCCAAATGGCAAAACGCGAGACTTAACACCACTTTGTCGGTTGACTTTGAAGGGAACTTAGGGGATTTCTCCAGAAGCCCATTGCGAAGGGAACCCTTTCCACCCCCCCCTCCCCCCTTCCAAGAAAAAAGCACGCACACACACACACACACACGATTGGATTGATAGGGTTCTCGAGCGGCACGTTCCGGATTGGTCAATGAGCCTTGGGCGTTGGGCCCTGTAAATCGCATCCAGGTTCTGACCCACTAAGCCTTGGTTGCGTTTTGCTCTGCTAAAATCTTAACTTTTAGTGGCGTAACGGAAAACCCATGAGTTGGCAAAAGTTAAAGCCCTAACATCCCTTGGCTAGATGAACCTCTGAGCCTCCTGGGTTCACCGAATCAGCGGATCAGCGGGTAGCCCATTTGGCGAAACGCTGGGCGAATCCAACGTGGCACCCCGAGGGAACCTGAAAGCCAGTCTTGCAAAAAAAGGCCCGGAGTGAGACATCTGAAAAAGCATACCTGGGTGAGTGTTGTTTGAATGGGGTTGTAAGGGAAGCTGGGGAATTAGGTCGTAACCCTTTGTGCCAGAATTGGCTTTTGTGGATTCGGCATGTAGTCCTCGAGGTGTGGACGCTGTTTTGCCACGTAACTAAGGCTGATTGCATGAGCACATGGCCGTTTGGGCCCATGTGCACGCTGTGAATGGTCAAACCATACTACTAGGAGATTCATAATAATACGAGGGTCCATTGATACCGTAGATGGACAAAATCCTGCACAGGGGCAAAACAACTACTTTTGTGACAATACACCTAGCAACCGGCGCGAAGCGGATTTCGCCCTTCCACAGTATTAATGAACTCCTGATGTCAAGCCAAGAGTTTGTCGGTTCGTTCACACCAATCACACCGTAAATACGGGAATTTACACTGGGTGCCGGCAAGCTTCTTTCCGCAAGCGAGAGCTCTCGCGCGCGCGGCATTTTTTGCTCTCAGCGGCGCTGTCTGACGACCAGGTCGGCCATCGTCGCCTGGCAGCTGAATCGGGGAGACTCAGGAGCGGCTAGTGGGTGGAAAGGAGCTATGACGGGGGAGTCAATCAACAATGTCCTGCTCTAGCCTTCTGTGCATGAAACAAAACTAGGTCCTCCAGTAGAGAGGTTAGAATAAGGGCACCCTTTTTTTCTGTAGTCTATTTTAGTAGGGCAACCCTCCCAACCAAAAAAGCAACGGGGTGAGAAAGGGCACCTATCGCTGGGGGACCTAGAAAAGGTGGACGACTTTTTCATCTTGAACTGACAAAGGCGAAAAACAAACGAAAACTGCAAGTCCGGCGACAGCGGCCGAGTCTGGGGGCACCTTTGCTGACAAACAGCTCCCACCTACCCCAGGCGAAAGCCATGAGGGGCCAGCACTTACTTGAATATCGCCGATCCAAATTTAGCATTGTTAAGGTCTATTCTCAAAATTCCCAGTACTTAGTCTAGTATTGCCCATATCGCCAATATAAACTCTGAAATGTCCAATGCGAACAAAGCTGGGAGCCAGTTCTTTTGCCCGGATCTTTCTCCCGCAGCCTCCTTGTGACTGCTTGCCCATACCGTGGGGGCCACGTCAAGAAACGATGTCCTAATGCTTGCCCGGATTTGTTTGCCCGTGCTCTTTTCTCGCATGACTTCGCCACGGATTTGTTGCCCGGATTTGGTCTCCGGCATTTTGTCCGGCAAACACACTGTCCACGGTAGAGTGGCCCAAGACAGTCACAGGATGCTGGATTAGGAACATACTTCTTTCTACAGGAGGTCCAATGTTCACGGGGTGACTAAACCAACATTTACGGCAAGCTGCTGAAAATAACTAAACAATAATTAGAAGACTAGACAGGTAAATGATAAATACAATATAAGGGGATAAAGCAAGAGCCAGAATAATATTTAGGTCCACTGATAGGTAATACTTGAAAATCCACATTAATCATTTCAAATCTGCATCTTGTAAATGTTATAGTGCTAATTCTTCATCTTGGAATCTTGGAAGAACCTATGTAAAATGATGACTGGTGAAGAAGAATGAAGGAAACAATACTACATACCAAATAATCTCAATTCTTGTTGTCTTTGCTTTTCTCATGATTCCTTTGTCCTCTTTTTGTAATATCTGTTTCAAGTTAATTGTCAACGGAACTGCCCTTAGGTTTGGAAATGAGGCATCGTTATTAAAAAGGGAATGAGCATAATCATGTCTAATCTTTGCAGGACTTGGCAATTCCTATGTTCGCCACGGTCTCGCTACGGGTTCGGAAAGTTGACCAGAGGCACAGCCGCGCAAAGTTTTCGCTAGGCTTGAACTGCGTGGCAAGCGCAGCACTTTGGCAACCTGAGGTCCAGATTTCGTGACACGCGCAGGATTTTGTTCATCCGAATTCGTGACGGGCGCAGCACTTTGGGAAGGTGAGTCGCGCGGTTGGCGGATTGCGTGGCAGGCGCAGCACTTTCGCAAGGTCGAGTAAAGATCTCGTGGCAGGCACGGCGCTTTCGAAAGCTCAAGTACAGATTTCGTGGCAGGCGCAGCACTTTGGCAAGGTCGACCACAGATTTCGTGGCAGGCGCGGCACTTTCTCAAGGTTAGGCGCACATAGAGAGATAGTGAAAGAGATAGACAGATGAAATTGAAAGAGAGGGAGAGAAAGAGAGAGAAAGAAAGACAGAAGAATTAAATAAAAAAAAGAAAGTTTTGCAAGGTCAAGTTCTGCATATCGTGGCAGGCGCAGCCGAGTACAGATTTTGTGGCGAGCAGAACTTTCGCAAGGTTCGGTGCAAATAGATACATAGATAGATAGATAGATAGATAGATAGATAGATAGATAGATAGAGACAGAGAAAGAAAGAGAAAAGAAACAAAGAAAGACAGACTAGCAAAAATGAACGAAAGAACGACAGACAGACAGACAGACAGACAGACAGACAGACAGACAGACAGACAGACAGACAGACAGACAGACAGAAAGAAAGAAAGAAAGAAAGAAAGAAGGAAAGAAAGAAAGAAAGAAGCAAAAGAAGAAAGAAGCAAGGGACACCCAACCCGACTGCAGCAGCCAACTCGGTCAAAAAGCGCGGGCATGGGGCTGGGGACGTTGTGCTTCTCATCCTATAGGCACAGGTCCTTTCTAGAAATACCTGGTAATCATATGATTTCCTATATTTCCTCGTTTCATTGATGTATATATATATATGTGTTCCTTCTTTCCTTTCTGCATCGCTTCTTTCATCTTTCTATCTGCCACAACTTGTTGTTCCCCTATGAGAGGGGGGGGAGATCTTTGGGGACCAGAATTGTCTAATGGCTGACGAATCATGGAATTCCTTGTGGTTTGCACAAAGGGTGCCCAATTGTTCTTGGCCAAAAGTCGCCTGTTTTCTGCAACGGCTCGCCGACTTGGATTTCTCAGTGGAAAGCTGAATGGGCGGTTCAACCCAAAGGCCCCCCCTCAAAAAAAAGGATTCCTCTAGAACTCTTTTATCCAGATTGCGGCGGAAGGTGGCATATTCCAAGAATGCGGGCCTTGCACTTTTGATGCTTCCACGTGTCAAAGCCAGGAACCTCCACGCCAAGGATAAGCCCTAAGGCCTTGAGGATAAAACAGGTAGCCGCCTTCCCTGTTCGCTAAAAAATATTTGAACCATAGATGGGTTTCCATGGTAAATGGGGCCACAAAACCCATCTAAAGCAGTGGATACTTAAGGAACCCGTGATTCGATTCCCCAACGTAAATACCAACAACGTTATGGTTTCATCCATTCAGCTTCACTCTAGTTGGTTTGGATTGGTGGTTCAGGGGATTTGCATTTACCCTCCAAAAGAACCCTTTAGCGGGCTCCAAACCACCAATTCAGGGCTGATGGGTTACGCAGGTTTTGGTCCATGTTTCCACTTACCAGGGTTCCATTTTGGAATTCCGGTTTTTTGAGCCACAGCCATTTTGCAACCGTCCACATGCCCGCCGAGCGAGGAGATGCGGAGAGGTCCCAAGTAGCAGTACTCTAATTGGTGATGCACAAAAAGATCTGGCACGTTCTGTCAACCCTCTCATCATGCTTTTCAGCGTCACCAGCCCCTTCTTCCTTGCCATCTGCGAGCGATCAAAAAAAAAACCTCCGCCTCGTCGTCCACCAGGTGGGCCCCCAAAATCCCCGCGTCCACCCCTTCGGCGCGGGGCTGCAGGCCGTCCACGATGAAGAGCTGAAAGACCTCAGCTCTAAGAGAGACTCGGACGCAGATCTACATCTCTACCCTTGGCATGGTAGCGAAAAAAGCCTTTGTTTTTTGCAGACCCCACAGTAAAAATGAACAGAAAAAAATAAAAAAATAAAATAAAAAACAAAAAACAAAACAAAACATGCCAAGAACAGTGAAGGTCTACATATACGCACATATGTGTATGCCGGCATAAATGTACATATAACTATATGTAAGTTTTATATCTATCACGTATAAGTACCATAAAACCAAAATGTGTGTCAACAGATGAAGGAATCTGAAGCCACTACAAATCACCACATCATGCTTCACGTGAACGGACAGGTTACAATTCAATGAAAGTACGTGTGATATGAATTGATACAAAGACAAATTCACAAAGAAATAAATCAGTAACTCACATGACATATGTAAATGTGTGCACGCTACATATGGCCAATACGGTGCCGCGTTGGACAAAACCCAGGCCCAACATGGAAGGGAAATGGGGAGGGGGGCTCGACTTCGATTGCACATGCAAGGTTTTGACACTCCTCGGGCAACTTTGGCAAAACCCGAAAATTGGGAAGTGGGAGCGAACAAAACATCAATAAGGGGCTCAGCAGGGGCTAAACAGGGGCCATGGAGTGTCGTAAACTAATCCAGTCAAATTGTAGGTACATCGTGGCAATGTTTTCCTTTTTGGAGGTTCCATGGTACTTCGTGCAAGAGTTCACAGACCTTGTGCAATGCTCTGAGGGAATAAGATTGAAATAATCCAACAAATGCGTCCGCAACTTTGAATATTGCGCAACTGTTAATGTGCGCGTGGCATGCTGCATGAAAGGTAACAGCTCATCAGTCAAGAATTATGACCACCTCCCTTTAAAACCCAAGGGACATACAAACCTCAATCAAGCAAGTGGCGGATAATGCGAACCCAGGATTGCACAAAAGCCCGGGTTCCTTTGCATGGGTTCCCTATATGGTTTGTTGTTAGAGGGCACCGATTCACCTTGGTTCACATGCATGGTTTGCACAAGGAAAACTACGTTCAATGTTGGCGGTAGCCCGAGTGTGACATATATCTATACTTCAGCACGAACACCTGACCACGAGACAAGGGAGGTGTGATCGATCATGGTCGTTTGGACAAGGGTTCCTTAACAAATACGTCAAACCACTTGACACTTGATTTCCCCCCCACTAAAAGAACAAGGAACCTTTTTGGTGAGTGTATGCTCAGAATCTCTGGCTGACTCCTCCCCCAAAGGACACCACAAGGTTTTGTAGGGGTCATTCCCCATTCCCGGCTGAGCACCAGCAAGTCTTAGGACTGACAATTTTCGGGATGCAAACCCACGCTTGGGACTTTTGCACCTTAGGCATTGTCCAGCTCAGCCGCTGGGACGAAGAGCAGGATGATGTAGATCACCAACTCAGTCCTTTGGCTTCGCGCAAAAAAAAACACACACACACACACACACACACACACACACGATCCCGTGGACGGGGTTCCAGTAGAATACGTCCAAACATCACTTGGTTTACAAGTAGCATCCTCTACGTCAGCTGGGAACACAAGTGCATTTGGCCCTTTTAGCCGGCCAATCGTATCGCTTACGCTCGTGTGTGCAAACACATCTAGGTTGGGCCTACGCCCCGCGTGCAAAAAGCTCCATCAAGGACTCTAAAGAAGGCAAGTGCCATGTGGCGTTCTGTCCACTGTCAACTCTGCTCTCAGCACTTGCTGGGTCCGGAAGGCCGCGCGCGCAAGTTAGCAGTAAGAGGCCTTCATCAGCTGCGTGTCGCCCCCAACTACGCTTGTGGCCATGTGCCCAAACAATCACGAATTGGATCAGGGCCTGCTCTCCGAGCCAAAGCGTCTCCACCTAGTACATGCCGCGGCAACATCTCCCCTGACAAGAAGAACATTCAGCCAATGACCCTATGCTTGGTGACGTGGCATATTGCGCAGCCTTGGCTTGAATGGAATATACGATCCCACGCCCTCAGTGTATCCAGTGCATACTCTGCTCAAGGCAGATAGCCCAACGAAACAGTACGCTTGAATCTTGGGGAAGGTGGGGGGAAGGAGTGAGGTTTCTTGCTGGTTCACCAGCAGGGAATAAGGGAATGACCCCTAACAGCCGTCCCCTGTGTTTTTTTTGAGGGAGTCCCCTTCCAGTTCATTCCCAATTCCCGGACTCGGTCCTGCCTATCACAGCAGCACGGTTTGGATCTTGCACCAAACAGGCGAAGGGTGCATCATATGGCCATGGGTCAAAATTCCGTACCGCCAGTGAACATCCCAATCCCCACGAAAATTGGTTCTAAAATGGGTGGTGCACCGAAAACCCCAAAATGGGATCCCAAAACGGTTTTGACCCACAGCCATATTGTGGATGGACGAAATCCATTTCGCACCACCTAAGAAACCCTGGTTTCTGATGATTCCCCTGTAAATGCCAACACACGTTATGGTTTCCACCATGGCTTCATTTCGTGGTGCGATTTCTGGATTTTCCTTTTCCACAGTACCCCTTGACAGGCCCCAGGCCGGCTGCGCCAAGACGCATCTTCCAAATGATCGAAGTGCGCAAGCGGCGCTTGGAGGTCAAGGTCATGGACGGCCGCTTGCCATTCAATGAGAGCCTGGCAAAGAAGCCAAGCTGCACATGGGGCCTGGAAATTCGGAATACTACAAGGTTGGGTAAGCCTGGAAATTCGGTTGTGCCATGTAAGCCTATTCGGAATAAACCGAATGCATGGGTGTTAGCACGCAGTTCGGGCTGCAAAGGACCCAAACTGTGAAATTTGGCCGACCGCAAGGGGATTCGGCTCGCTTCACCCTGTACAGACAGGCAAAAGGGAAACCGAGCTTTTGGTCGGCCACAAAAAAAGTTTGCGCCAAAAGCTAAGATAGGTTTGGGATTCGAAGCTCTCGCGGGGCCCCAAATCGAAGTCCCTTTGCCCCTTTCTCCAACTCAAAGCCAAAGGGAATCGCTGAATCTCTAGCGACTTGCAGAGTTGCTCACTTTTGGGGCGCCGAAGCAGGAATGGGCCACTGGCCCGTGCCGTGCTTTAATGCTTTTGGCTTGGGTTCCTGGACACGTGGCAAATCATCTCTTTTCTAGGGGTTGATTCCCCATTCTGTTCAACCATCTCTCTTTTTCAAAACCAGGCGTCCTTCCCTGGGTTTCTGGAGATTTTCTAGAAAGAAGGATCCCTGGAAAGAATGGGGAAGGTACCCCTAGATCTTTGCAACAATAGTGGAAGTGGACAGGAGGCACATTCCAGCAAACTATTGTCTCCCACTGGCAGATTCCATGTTACGAGGAGACGGTTTGAAGGCTGTGGATGCACCCCTGCAAATGCAAGAATGCAAAAAAATCGCCCGGCTAAGTAGCAGAACCATGTTGACGAAAAGCTTTGGACTCGTCCCAGAGTATGCTCTCAGCTGCTCCTTAGGGACCTGGAAATGGAAGGTGATCACCCTTTTGGAATCATTGACCAAATCAGGGAAACCAAAAGGTTGAAGGGTCGGCTTTGGGCAGCTGAGTGATGCAAACACCATGATGACTCGAATTGCAATTTCCATCTAACGCAATGGCAACTGCAATGGTTGCAAGCGTGTAATTGTAATTGTTATCGTGATTGTAGCAATCCCTACTTAAGTTGCTTTTGCAACTTGCAATATGCATGTTGCAATTGTCTGGGTGAATGATAATATTTTGCCAACCTGAAATAAAGTGGTTGGGGGAATGTTCCCCACATAAACCACCATTTGGGTGGTTTAGTCGTGTGAGGTCGTTATACTGCACCCATAATTTTCAGGAGCGTTCTTTAAGCCTAACCGCTCGCAAACATGTTTGGCTACGAGCCCTTGCGCCATGGAGTCTCTCTGGGGGAGATTGTTTTCCAGATTCCATGGGTCTCCTCGATTCGTCGATGGCCACAATCCAACTTTGGACAACAACAGGGGCCTCTCCGGACTCCTTTGTACCAAAGTCACCCCCAGCTCACTTTGACGACCCCCCCCAAAAAAAAGCAAAAACAAAAACACACACACACACACACATCCGAGCAAAGCACCCTCGTGGTGCCCCCCAAACCGGTGGCGTCCTCTGCTAAACGTGACTAACTTTTGCTGGGCTAAATGCGGAAACCCAGCCACTCAACCACCGGAAAACCCAAAACCCTCAGGAACCCAATTGCTCGGTTCCGAGCCGCGCAGCTCTGACCCCTGCCTCTTGGAGGGTGTCCTTGGAGATTTGGAGCCGGAGGTTTGCCTCGCCAGCCCCGGCTCCTGACGAGGACGAGGGCGAAGTGCCCCGGAACCCCGAGGGGGTCTTGGTTGCTGCAACGACCCGCCTGCAAAAAGTTTAACTATTTGGGGGTGTAGTGTAAAACCCCTTGAGTTCCCAAAAAGTTAAAGTCTAAAGATCCAACCCAATAGCAGTCAAGGGGTGTTGCTTAACATAGGCAGAGTGTACCCTGGCTAACCCCTAACCATAGGGGGCGGGGGGTTCGGGTCCGGGTTCGAGTTCGGGTACCGAATGTTTGGGTAGGGATCGTTCGGAATCGATTTGCCTCACTCTGGGCTACGCGAAACCACCCCCTTAACCTCCAAACCACGCCAATGACGCCCTCCCAAGGCTCACCAAGCTCCTGAATTTGGCTCTTTCCGGAATCCTTGCCGCTTCGGGGCAGCGGAAACCCAAGGTTTAGCTTTCGAAAGCTTGACTAAGAATTCACCAGGAGACCAAACAAAAACGGTCAAAGGGTCGATTCGCTTTCACCCCTGGAACCTGCTAGGAAACAATTTGCTTGGGAAACGTAGATGGTTGTTGCAGGTTCCAGGTAGGTTATAACCATGATAAGGGGACCATCACCCCAGTTGCCATGGTGAGATCAAATACTTATTCAGTTGGCATAGAACATCCAAGCACAGGACACCATCCATTTGAGCGGTTCTTCCAGTGCCCGCTTTCCTCTTTACAAACCTCGGCTCACTTGCCAAAAGGGCAAGTGAAAACTTTGACTAAACATAGGACAAAAGGGGGGACACAGAAACAACATATCAAAGGAGTTCATTCGCTTTGGTAAACCTGCTTGCCTCACACTGGCAACGGACATCCAAGCGAAGGACACCATCCGTGAATTTGAGGGGTCCCTCCAGCTTCAACCAAGAATTCTATGGGTTGATTCCTTTTCCATTCTTTTCAACCATCGTTCTTCTCAAAAACCAGCTGTTTCCCGAGGGTGTTTGCTTTTTTAAGAAAGATTCGGATCCCGGGAAGAATGGAATGGAAGAAAATAAAAACCAGACCTGACCACTGGGTTGCAATCAAGCGTGCTAGGATAAATCTCCCAACGTGCCTAGAAACATGCGCGGATCGATCCCTCCTCGGCACTTGGCCTTTTCTCTTCGGGCTTCTTCTCTGCGCCCTCCGCCTCCGCCTCGTCCGCATCCGTGGCTTCCGGCTGCTCCTCCTCAAAGTCCTGTCGAAGGGTTAAAAAAACGCGCGGGGTCGTGGGAAGGGAAGTTGTGTATTAAGTTTAATTATTTGTGTTTTTACAAGTTTATGAAAAAGTATACATTTTTGGTTACAACATTGACTGAACTAACTTTAACTATAAATTTATGGGTTAGCCATGTAAATTTAAGGGGGAGCTAAACCCTGGCGCAAACCAGTAATACTCCACGAAACGCGAAACCCTGAGCTTCACGCCGCGAAAACCTCTCACGGCCTCTAGATTACAGTCTATCGCTTCAACCCTTGCCAGGGATGTGCTTTTGATCAACACAATCTCAGATGCCCAGCAACCATGGGAAAAAAGCATCCGATTCTTTTGGTTGGTTGAGTTTGAAGGGGAACCCGTCCCAGAAAAAGGAAGAAAGGGCACCACTGGGCAACCGGGCAATTTTGACAGAGGGCAGCAAACCCTAGGTGAAACTCAGGGAAGTTCAGCCATCCGCTTTCACCCAACATGTTCCCGAAGAGGATGAAGAAAATGAGATTGATCATTGTCGATGATAGAGAATACGCTCCTGCAGGTTAACATGGAACCTTACCGCCATTTTGGCGGAATCTCTTGAGGAACCCTTTTTTCCATGTTGATCTGCTATGTGTAGAATGCGTCCATTGAACCACATCAACCCACTTGCCCAAAGGAGCCAGTATTGAAAGGTGATCATCTTTTGCGGCCATTCCTAAAATGGGAACCCAACATGGGAAACCAACAGGTTAGATCAGGTCGATTCGCTTTGGGCGACTGAGTCAATAACCTGCCCCCTTCTCACACCAAACGCCCGGCTCAGCCTCCTCCTGGGCAATCCTCAAGCACAGCTCGCCCACCCGATCCGCATGGAAGTCCTAGCGGAGTGTCGATCTCGTGGCTGGGGACCGGAACTTCATCGTTCGAACTCGTCGACTTTTGGTCGGGGTGTCCAATGTCGGTGGAAGCATTGGGAAGGATCTGGTGGGGCTTGGGGATGCAGTCCATCAACATCCGTTAGATCCAAGGCAGATAGCCCAATGCCGCGACTGGAAATTCCACTGGGTGAAGAAAAAGCCATTGGCTGTACCCTCCTGTCGTTGCCATGAAGCCCACATGGCTACTTCTCAACCTGCCCCATATTGGGTCCCCGGATTTCCCCAAACTCGCTCGTGCATTTCCTTTTGATTTCCCCTAGGGCACTAAGTCTGGTTCCATGGCCACGGCAGGATAAGCTCCGGGACTCCATTCCCCAGCAGGGCGGCAGGAGTCACGAGCCAAAAAGTCGCGTGTACGTTTCGAAGGGTTTCGTTCGGATCAGCTGCAGAGGTGTCTAACCATAGGTGTCCTTTTAGGGGAGATAGATGGGTTTCCCTCTTAGATGATTAAACCACCAGGTAAACCAGTGCCATGTTTTTTGTTTTTTCCGACCAAAACAACCAAACGGGACACCTATGTGTCTGACGTGGCGCCAAAAAATTAGAGAAATCCCATCCGCGGAGCAGGACGTTGAGAGCCCCTTTCGGGTTCCTGAGGGTTCCCGATACGGGTTGGCTCGCAGCGAGGACTTCAGGCTCAAACGTGAGGAGTGGGTTGCGTGGGTTGGTTTCTCAGGATGCCCAGGCAATTCTCGGGTGGTCACCTTTTGGGGGGGCCACTGGAACATGGACACCCGTTTGTTTTGGTGGAAAAGCAAAAGTTGCCAGATCCAGTCGAATTTGCTGACAGTGAAACCACGCCAAGTGCGCCAAAACCCTTCGGTGCACGCCTGAATGGTTTGAATGGCAACAATTTGTGCACTGGCGCCGGATGGGACCTGGAAACAAAAGGTGGTCATTGCGGGGACCTCTACAAAATATGGACCAAATCAGGGAAACCAAGAGGTTGAAAGGGGTCGTTTCGCTTTGCGCAAGTGAGTTTTTTTGGCCGACCACCTCTTTCCTCATTGAACCATTGCTTAAGCTACATCCTTTTGGCGTCCTTTTCTCAGTTGTTCAGTGACCCTGGAGAAAAAAAGGGAGCCCTTTTTGGGGAAGACCATTTTTAGTGGGGCAGCCACCCCCAAAAAAAAAGAAGAAAAACAAGGTGCAACTGAGCTTTAAAGAGTCAGCCGACACGCTGTGGCCATTGATATTCGCTTGAGCTGCAGGCCGCTGACTGTGCGACCCGGAGGACAAAAAAAGCTCAGCAGTCAAGGCTTCACTTTTTGAGTGGATGGCCCAGAAGAACAAATCCAAACCTTGGATGCTGTAGATCCCCCAGCTTTTTGTGTTTTCTAATTAAACAAAAACTTGTTGCTGGTTAAATGGAACTATGAGGGGAATCCAAAAAGTTAGAGTCTAAAGATCCAACCCAACAGCAGTAGAGAAACTGCTTGTTTGCCACGTTGCCTTTCCAAGAGTTCAGAATCTGAGGGAGTGAGGCACCACATGCCTCGACTCCTTCAGCCAAAGCTTTCCATCCGAGAATGCGTTTGCCACGGTCCAAATCATGTGGTCCCATAAATGGACATAGCAAAGGCACACCAAGTGGTCTGACTTGTAGATTCTGGTCGGCTTCCTCTTGAAAAGGAAGCCCCTCACACAAAGCAAGGGCAGCGGAGGTAATCCGAACCGCAGTGTAGCCTCTTCCGGATCGACTCCACTAGTGAGAGACCAGAATCCAGGGAGCAAGGCGAAACACAACTGCCATGGCAGGGTTCTTCTGTTTGACCACCCCAGGGTAGACTTAAACCCAGGGGTGGTTCCTTCCCCAAGAGAACCCCCTGGGTTTAACTCTATCTTGGGGTACTCAAAAAGTAGAACCCTGCTGGGAGGTGTTGGAACTAATCACCGTTCCTTGCACTAACGGAAGGGGGCTACTGTGGATGGACAAAATCCAGTGGAGAGATGCAACCCTCCAAGTATTTTAGGACAAACCACCTACCAAACACATGCAATTATCAAGAAATAAAATATAATAATTGGAAATATGATAACGAACATTTAATATAATAATTGGAAATATTATAACGAACATTTAAATCTATTGGATATTGATTGTGAATAAATAATACTGTTAGATCTACATCTGGTGCGAAGTGGATCTTGTCCACAGTATGTCTACCAAAGGGTGCTCTTTTATACCCATGTCCTTGTCCGCAGCTTCCCCAGCGTGCCCATACCCATGCCCAGTGCAGGATCTTGTCCATCTACAGCAAAATAGGGTGTCCCTGGGTTTAGTGGGGATTCATCACTTTAGCAAAAAACACCGCCCTATGAATTACAAAATCCAAACAAACATGGGGCCAACATGATGAACGGAAGGTCAGCTTTCCCTTGAACCCTTCCCAGCACCATGGCATGCCCTGGGAAGCGCCTGCACAGATACGAAGGACAAGCCGCCATCCACCTGCGCGCCAAAAAGAGCAGCTGTCCGAAAATCCGCCATCGCACAGGTTCAGCTTGTTCAAGTCTGAAAAAGACATTGCGTATAGGCAACAAATCATGCAGCTCCATGAGGGGAGAAAAGGCAGGGGGGTGGGTATCCGTGAATAACCCTATCCCGAGCACGGGATTCGACACCCAAGTTATTGCCATATCTAGCAAGCCCCTCTTCCCACCAATCGCGAAGTGGATGCTTTTGAGACCAAGGCCTTTCCTCCGATTTTTGGATCCTCGTTTTCATCCGCTTTCATAAGCCTTGGGTTTAGGCGTCAGGCGACACAAGACTTCCCTCTCCCCACCGCCCCTCCGGGGCTTTCTGAGGAGAAATCGAGCCTGAGGGTGTCAGAATGGTACCCTGTAAGTTTCCCAAGGAACAAGCTGCACTTGACGCATCTAGAACCCGAGGCCCATGTTTCAGCCCTTTGGCTGAGTGCACACAGAGAGGACTCCAAAAGTGGACGACCTTCTTTTGAGAAAGGGCTCTTGTCATAGGTGTCCTTTTAGGGGAAATAGATGGCCCTGGTAGATGATTAGACCACCAGGTAAACCAGGGCCATCTATTCTTAGACCAACACAACCAAACAGGACACCTATGGCTCTTGTGCAAATGTTGGGTTTGCTTCGCCGCGATCTCTCAGCGAGCGTCCCCTCTGTCAGATTGCTTTGAGTTCGCGTCCCTTGGGTGAAAGAGTTTGGTTTGAACCCCCGGCTCGCTCGTTGGGCTTTTAAATGAGCCTCGGTTTATGTTGAAATGGGCTGGGTTTAAAGGGGACCGTCCATTGTCCGTCGCCCCAATTTGAGCGAAAAATGGCCGTAGGCGAAAATTACGCGCAACGCAATTGCCGCCGGATTTGTGAACATGATCAGTTCAACTTTGTTGATTTGATTGATTGGTTATTGTTTCCATATCTGGCAGTTTACTTATGAGTTGCTTAGCTTTCGGAACCAAGCAAACGTAGGCCGTGCATGGCCATGGTTGCCTTGCCTTGTTGACGTTGCGGACCCTCCCCCCAAACAAAAAAAAATAATCACCGTAAAACAATTTGGGTGGTTTCCCTTTTCAACTCCTTTTCTTGGTTGCTGTTGACCCCTCTGCGACAAGTGTTTAACTTTCTGTGGGCTTAATTCGGACAACTATTGATTTCAAACAACAAAGTTGAAGTCTAAGTACTAAAGACCCGCTACATCCGCTACCAAATAGCAACCAAGCTTTCAACCCCAACAAAGGGGTAGCCTCCATAGAGGACCTGACTTTGCCCGCCACCCCGAAGCCTCGTGCAAGTGGAAGATGAAGAGCAGGCCCAGCGCATCGAAACAAATGTCCTGGCCATCTTTCTGGTCTGCGCTTTCCATGTTCGAGACAAATGGCTGTGGCTCAAAACCGTGGCACCAATGGCACAAAAAGGTACATGGAACCAAAGGCTAACACCCGCGTAACTCCAGCTCTTTAATTTTGAGCCATACCCAAATCAAAACATCCTTGCGTCAACGAGAACTCTTTCCAGAACATGCCCAATAGCAACTAAGTATACCCTGGACTGTCCGTGTTCGGATCCCCTGCTAAACGTTAGGTTAAATGGAAACAACCAACCACCAAACCAACGAAAAGATATCTCAAATTTAGGTGGCTCAAATAGAAGCCGCCAAACCAACTAAAAAAGATCTCAAAACTAAGGGACAGGCTGGCCGGGTCCCAGCCACCAAGTGCCCTATATCCAGTTCTAGAAACAATCACTCGCATCTGACAAGGGGAGTCAAATCCACGTTGGGTGGAAGCAAACGTGGGTAACCCGCCCTGGAATGGCTCACAAGAGATCGGGGAAAACGGATCGAAACAGAAACGCGGACTCGCTTTGTGAAGAACTCTGGGAACGTCTTTCAATTTGAGGTTCGAATCTTTTCAGAACCTCCCCTTCCCCCTCCCCGAAAAAGAGCAAAACAAAAGACAAACAAGACAACAAAAGGGACAGGGCGAGCGTTTCAACCACGATGGTTGCACATTCTTTGTACAAGGATGTAGTTGTTGGTTTTGGTTAATTGATCACTGGGGTCACCATGGGAAACCAAACGTTCACCCCGGTTGGCTTCCTTGAGTGGTCCAGGAGACATCCTGCACTCACATGCTTCCCAAACACAGAGATTCCATGTTCTATGTAGCAAGGGAACCCTTCAAGCACCAGGAAAACAAAGGCTTGCTATACTTTCCCGATTCCTGGGCTGAGGATAGGCTAAGGGACGCAACAGCTTTCCAAATTGGAAAACTACCTGAGGGCCACTTGGTACATCGCTGACTTCCAAGGAACCTCCGCCGAGCTCTTGAGGGACTGTCACAAACAACTGCGCAAAAGAGATCCCACAGGAAGGCCAATGGAAGTCCGGATCTCTCCACAAAAAACGGCACTGGAAGAATCACAAAAACATAGATCAGCCCCTCTTGGAGGTCTGGATGTGTCTTTACCAGAAAACTTGGTTGGAATTGGGAGCCCAGCAAAGAACAGTATGTTTTGCCTAGTTTGTGGAAAACCCAAGGGGACACCAAAAAATCAAAAAACATCAGGGGAGCTAATTCTGGGCTCGGTTGCTTTCTGCTCCCCCGATAAAAGTTTTAACTTTTAGTGGTTTAATACGGAAAACCCATTGGGTGGCAAAAAGTTCAAGTCTTAACACTGGCTTCATTATTTTACATTGATCAAAGTCACCCCCCAAGTGGTGGGTTAAAGGGAAATAACCCCATTTTCTGGCTTTGATAACCCCCAGAAACCGTCAACATAATGACCCTAGTAACATCCCTTGGCAAAATGCACCAAAGTGAAGGGCGTGGAAACGCTGCCGTCCTTGGGGCTGCCAGCCATGGTGAAGATCAGCACCTCGATTCCGGTCGCTGGGTTCCATCCTCCATTTGCCCAGGGGTGGTTGATTCCCTTTAGGTCGTCTACCCGAAGGTCAAAAAAACGGAACCCTGAGCTTGGGTACATCCACATACAACTTGCTTCCATTTGGTTAAGCCCCCTGGAAAAATGAAAAATATATGTCCAGTAGTGATAGGTTCCCTTTAAAACCAACAGGGGAAAATAACAATGTATAATATATATATATATAATATAATATATATTCTCAACCAAATGGAAGTCATGGCATGCCGCTGGCGGTTGGCTCGGTTTTTCTCCGTGATCCCTGGAGAAACAAAATTTCCAATTTACACCCAATTTCATCAGACACATTTGGCAGTGGTTGTCAAAACCGTTTTGGGATCTCATTTTTGGGCTTTTGGTGCACCACCCATTTCAGAACCCATTTTAGTGGATGGATTGGGATGTTCACTGGGGGCACGATTTGGCTTTTGACCCATGGCCATTTCAGGCAAGGATCAAGAGTGCACGATCCCCATCCCACAGTCGAAACCATGCAGCAGGCAATGCGTTGTCATTGCCCTCTTCGGCAAACGCCCGTCGTTGCGCTGCGCAAAAAGTTGTCCGGACACAACAAAGCGCCTTCCCTCTCATATAGGCCCGAAGGGTGCGTGGGTACTTTTTACTTGAAGGCATCTGTTCGCATCTGTCACTCATGTTGAGCCAGGATTCATGATCCTTAGGGGGGAAAACAATTCCAACGAGTGCATTTTTCCGGGGTCAATATTATTCCCATCAACGTGGGTTGCGTGATGCCAGTGCCACCAGGGAGCCATGTCGACCAGCCCAACCGTGGTCAGGTAGCATAGCATGCCTCTCCACCCGGCGGGTAATGTCACTTCTGACCCAAGCATGTGCTTGTTTCTGACTCCAAATTAGTTTTAATTTTTAGGGGATTAAGTATGACACAGGGTCTGAACACTTGATTTTCTGTGCACCTCTGGTGTTTCACAGATGGTTCCAGGGCACCTGTGGCAAGATGCCGATCCATTTCGGTGCCATGGCCACGCCGAAGCCGCAGGAACCAACTCTTCACAAGGAGCTTCCCACGGCACAGAGGTGATCAACCTAGCTCCTTTTGGGGGAGGGCTCACTTCCACCAGTTCACAAACAGGACGAAACGCACAGGCCCAGCTTTACGAAACGAGCAGCTCGAGTTTAAAAAAAAAACACGCTGGAAGGCAGCCTTCACGAACCAGGCTTTGAAGGTCAGGACTGGTCTTGGAGTACCCAGAAAAACCCGCAGCAGAGCTGAGCTCTGAGCTTGTGCCCGAAAACCGATCCGATCCAATGGCTTGGGTTCCGATCTCAGCCGATCTCAGCCGAGAGGCCGCAGTCCAAGACCAAGCAGCTCTGCGCCCAGCGGGACACTTCCAGTTTCCTTGGCTGGAACTAGGGGCCCAGCTTTTTGTTTTGTTTGCCTGGTTAGTGGAAAACAAAGGGGACTTCAAAAAAGCAAAAAGAAAGAAAAGACCGGGCTCCCTATATTTCCCCTTAAAACATCACCCCCCGCCAAGCGATGCTCACCTTTGGGCCAAGAAGGTGATGTTTAAAACAGCCAAGGGAAATATAGGGACCACTAAACCACAACAAGCAAAAATGTAAAAGGTTTCCCAACGACAACCATGAAAGGGGACTTCAAAAAAGCCCCCCCCCCCCCCAAAAAAAAAAAAAAAAGAAAGAAAGGGGGGAACTAATTCCGGGGCAGCTTCAAGGGCTCGCCCTTCTCCGTGTCCTTCCTCGGCACGCAAAGCGACGGCTCGCTCGGGTGGACCGACGTTTTGTTCGGCCGACGATGCCGGCGGCGGGGGATTTTTTTCAGGTGGGGAACCGGTTCTCCACTTGAGAAAACCCGCCAAGGGGGCCTGGACATAGAAGCTGCCTGGTCCTTCCGACCCTTAAAAAATGGGCTGGCTCCTTACCTAAAATCATGGGGGGTCGTTGACCCATTTAAATAAAGGGCCATGGAGAAAATTCAGGTGCTCACCTTTCGGGATTGCGAAAAGTGGGAGAACCCAAAAAGCTGAGATCGGGTCAAGTGGTCAATTCGCTTCGGGCAAGTGGGGGGTGTGTCTCACCATAACTTGGGGAACTGGGAGAATTTGGCGCCTTACCGTGGTTATACTCTACTTACCCCTCCCACCCTTTTCACATGGAACCTGACGTTCAGGGGGTCCTGGCTTGGACCATTTTCCACAAGCGACCGGATCCCCCACGTCAAACGGTTCCGGCTGTGAAAAGGGCGGGAGGGTACATGACGTTGGCAAGGAACATCTAAGTAGACCTCTCCAAGAAAGGCTCTCGGGTTTCAATCTTCAAATAGAGTAAATAGAGGCCCTTCCATGAGTGGATGGCCCCAAAAAAAGAAAGGTGCCCAAACAAGGGAGAATAAATCAATTAAAACAATGGTTCATTTCAGCAAATGAACATGTGCTTTCTAAGGTGCGAAGAAGAAACAAAATATGGCGGACTCTCTTCCCCCACCAGGGAAAGCACGACATATTAATTTCAGAAAGGAGGCGAGATCGCCTCCAAGCATGAAATGGGGATCCAACAAGGGATCAAACCGCACCGGTGGAAAATTCGGGAAACCACCGGAAACACCAAGTTCCAGTCACGACGGGATCCGTCTTTTAGACTCTTTGTGCAAGCCCGCAATCAGAGCAACACCCAACGTAGAGGGGGTCTTATGAAAAATGTGCAAAATATGAATGCGTCGGTAGTTTGAATAAACCAACTCAAGATTTGGGTTGCTCCTATAGCCTCTCTTCAGATTTCCACACACAGGACTTTTTGCGCGTCTCCGTTGGGCGCACCCGAAAGATATGCGTTCCTCCCATCTCTTGTGGGGAGGGGGGGGGGAATGTCCACGATCCGAGCGTCATTTTCTGCAGGTTCTCGAAAAGCGTGTAGAGCAAGGCGTTCTCTTTGGCCGCCTATCCGAGTGGCCCTCTAAATGGATTAAGTAGGTTATAACCATGGTTCCAAGGCGACGATCACCCCAGTTACCCAAGCTATATCCATGGCTATAGCCTTCTTACTAACTTGCTTGAACATCCTAAAATTGGTGGTAGTCCTTTTGGGAGTCCTTTTGGCCCGGGGGGGGGGGTGAGGAATTTCCCATTTGCCCCAAACATAATTCTGGTGTGCCTCTGAAGTGATTGAGTCTGGTGGCTTCCTTTCACATGCCAGAAAGGCCTAAAAATACATCAAACCACACACACACATATCATATAAAGCGGAAACCTGCCCTTATAGGATCCCAACAGAAAGTTCTGACTTCCTTAGGTTCCCCTGCTGGACAATCTTTTAAAGCACACCTTCCAACAAGACATTCCGAGAGGTTTGTTCCAAGAGTACTCGCCTCTAAAACGTCCATTTGGTTAAGACAAACAAGGGAAAATGACAAATAATCTTAAGCAAATGGAGGAACAAATGAGCCTGTGCGACACTTAGGGCACAGGAATCCTATTCGAGGTGAAACGGTCACCTGCCCGGCGATCTGTTTGCTGGACTCTGTCAGGTCCGGAACCCAACGAAAAAACCTCCACTCACCAAGTGACTTTTTCTGCAAGCTGCACAAATCGCTCGTCTTCTATACGCACTTCCTGAGTGGATTGGCCAACAACAACTCTGAACTCTTGTTTACCACTCAGTGACTAAAGTCCATAAACTCAGGGATTGAACTTTAGGTTTCCCTTGTCACCAGGTCGCAACATGGGTTTCTGATTTAGGTGGCTCCCTCCCCCCCACCATAAGGGGGAGCGGGGCGGGGGGTCCCCAATTCCAGTTATCTAGTTTTCCCCTTACCAAGGAAATGGAACCATACATGGAATTCCAGGGTCACCCCCCTCCCCGAACTCCATATTTAAGGGGGCGGGGATGTGGCTTCCCGAATCTGAGAATCCGAGAAAAGGGCCTTCTTGACGATGGAGAGGCAGTGCAGCACGATGCTGTAGGTAAAAAGCACCTGCAAAAGTCCCTGGAGTTCAAAGGTTCGATTCACTTTGCTTCCTGAGACACTTTGCTTCCGTTCTGCTTTGGGGTGGGGTGGGGGGGGGGGGTGGGGGGGGTGGGGGTCGCTGCAACCCCCCAAAGTTGGAGGATTGAAGGTTGCAACCCCCAAACTTTCAGGATTGACTTCCCCTTAATCGATTCATGTTGCTTCCTTGAACGTCACTTTGCAAAGTCTCAAGCCACTTTGCTTCCATTCTGCTTCGGGACTTGTATGTAAGGGGTGGCTTTTCCCAAAATGAAAAGTCTGCATATCCTATTGCAGAATGTGTGTTTTCCACTTCAAGAGCCTCTGTGGTTCGGAATCAGACCAATTTGCCTAGTCTTCCCCAATATAGAGATCTCCCGCCCCCCCAATTCCGATAATTTATTCAAGGGCGTGGGGTGTTTGCCTTGCGGACAAACTTGAGCAACATTTGTTCTCGTTTCGCGTAGTGCTTGGCTCAGTTGCCCTTCCCGGACCGAGGGAACTCTAGCAATACCAAAGCGTTGGACATACTAAGCCTGGGGTTGGCCCACCACCCAAAACAATGGCAGTTTGTTTTCTTTGCACCACCAAACAAATCGGAACCTCCAAAAGTGACTAAAACGATGGAACTTTGTTTTCTTTGCATGTCTTCTTGTCTCACTGTCTCTTCTTGTCACAAAACATCTTATCAGCTACCGCCTTTAAAGCAATGGGGTGCATATTTCACCACCATGGTTCACCGTGGATTGTCCTCCAACTTGGGTCCCATTGGGCCATTCGTCCATTTAACGCGCAGATGCCCGCTCGGAACCGCAGGAACCAAAAAGGCGTCCCCCGCTTTTCTTTCTTTTTTTGATTCCTGGGTCTTTCCGTGGAATCGAACTAGATCTCTCCAAGAAACTTGGTTGGTGCGGGAAAAAAGTAAGCGAGTTTCGAATGGTTTGGTTGACTTTAAAGGGGAAGCCTTCCTCAAAAGGGGAAATAGGTGAGCTAAGCATCCGCTTTTGGAGAAATTCTTAGATGGCGCTAGAGAGAACAAAATCCAAGCAAAAGAGTTCCAATCTCATGGTTCCTTGCCTTTGCCCTCTTCCCCCCGAACATGTTCGGCCTGCTCAGATCCGTACATGGCCCGGTTGAATTTCAAGGGGAACCAATCCCAAAATGGAAACAAGGGCACCACTGGGCTGGGTCAGCTAAGTGTCAATATCAAGTTATGCATTGGCCCAGCTCAAGGGGGAAAAGGCGGTCTAATGTTGAAGCAGGCCCCATTCTACACCAAAACCTGAAAGAAGAATTGGATCCCTAGAGGCCCTATGGTTTGGGTGTCTGGATCCATTCACCGAACAATTGGTGGGTCGTAATCTTTACCTACCCTATCCCCTTCAACTCACTTCCTGAATGGCCCAAAAACGGTATCCCAACTTGCAAAGGTTTGCCAAAAGGGTCATCTGAAAAGACCATGCCCAGCGACCTGGCCAACTTTGAGCAAGCACCTTATAATTGCAACCCACGAAAGGCGCGTTTTTTAAAAGCAAAGAGTCCAAGCCTGGACCCCCCCAATGTAGTGTATGGCTTCATGTTACAAAACGCGGGACGAAAAAAACAAAAAACGTGATTCCTTCCGCAAATGTGTCTTCGACATGGTGGAGTTGCAGACCCAAAAACGGCTTTTGCAGCAATTCCCTTCCTATGAAAGCAAACCGCTTTGCGTTTTGCAGCCCCCTGAACCATACCAAGGACAGCGAGATGGGGTCCCCCACCCCCTCCACTACCTCCATTTTTGTTTTTTTGCGGCATGCCAGAACCTGCATAGGTCACAATGCAAAACCCCAACATAAGAATTGGATTCCCCAAGTAAAGGACTCTCGCACACACCGTTTTTTGATGTCGCGACAGAGTGCCTGCAGCACCCTGGCAAAGACATGGGAGCCGCCATAGGCGTAGTCTCCAAACTCGTATTTCACCTGAGTCGTCAACACAACTTCCCGTTTGTGGGTGGATTCCCTTGATGAGTCCAGGATAGTTTCTCTTTGAGGATGGTTTCGCTTCTTGGATGGTGTGCTTTTTCGGATGGGTTCCCTTCCGTGTCGCCCTTTTTGGCTCCTTGTTAAGGAATACCAAACGGATGGGCATTCTCAAACGGGCGGATGCATGAATTGGTTTGCCTGGCTTTCGAGAAGAGGTAATATACGACTTCTAGGGATATGCTGCATTGTGAATCTTGTATCGGCGTATAAGCATGCATGCCTCCAAACCCCATATTTGGGAATGCCCATGTGCCTGTCTTGTGTGCATAATGTGGTGCCCCCATGAGGCCATAGGAAGCTCAAATCGGCGGCCGAGGACAAGTATCGGTCTCGTTACCCCAGAACCTCGCTTCCGACCGACCGGCCAAAGAAGGTACATTTGCCGCATGCATTGCACCAGGGACCACTGATGTTCTGCGGTTGAGGCACTGACGCCAGCCTGAAACCAAGCCCCAGACCGGTGCTTTTTTATGTTGTGTTTAAGGGTTTCCTCCCCAGCAAGTGCCAACTTAGATCACCGGACACACTTCCACATCCAACAATGCAAAGCCCTGCAGTCCCCATTTGGCGTTTCGTTCTTTAAATATGCAACCCTTGAAAAGGGAAATCACCCCATCATGTTGAACAATAAAACATGTGTGATGGGCGGTTGGAGGGTTTGGTACTACGATTGCGTCTGTGAAAAGATAGAGGCACCTTTCGGACAGCTTCAGAATCAAACGTTCAAACGTCTTGCCTTTCTGCTCACAAGGCACCTAGGGGGGGGTACTTCATTGAGCTCCACCAGCAACCTTCTGCTCGTCGTTTGACTCCGGGGTGGTTTCGGGCGGGAGGGTTCCGGAAGGTTCAAGCAAATTCGGGGCTGTTGGGGATACCGCCTGGCCTAGTGTGTATTTATTTTCACCTGTTGGTTAAAAGGGGGATCTATCACTAATGTTTATTGTTTTAAAGTCAGGGGCTGAAGCAAATGGATAAAACAAAGCACAAGCCATCCATGTCGCCATCTTGTGAAACCTGAAAACTGAAATCCACAAATTTGGGCAACGGTCTGTTGTAAGCGTCCTGTCTTTTTTGCTTTAAATCCTGGAAACCACGAGGAAACCCGAAAAATCCACAAAGAACGACACGCCCATCCGAGAGATCGACAGCTGAGGCGTGCGCGAAGCGCACCTCGGTCTTCTCCCACTCGTAGGTGTAGACCGCCCAGCGGAGGATGGCTAAGGGAGCCACCAGCTGGATCAAGAAGATCACCCTGGCGCTGGCGCTTGCCATTCTTTTTTGGGGGTGTCCGGGTGGGTGGGTCTACAGTGGGGTGTGTTTTTGTTTGAGGGGGGGAGGGTGCGGGTGGGTGGGTCTACAGTGGGGTGGGTCTACAGTGGGGTGGCTTTTTCCGGGTTCAAAAAAAGAGAAAAAGCCACATGATTTCAACCAACAAACTCTCCAATCTCCAAAAAGTTGGATTCGCTTTTTCCGGGTTCAAAAAAGAGGAAAAAACACATGACTTCAGAACCGACAAAGTTAATGTCTAAAGACCCGCTAGCCAATAGCAATCGACGGAGCACGTTGCTTCACCCCCCCCCTCAACTCCACAACTTTCATGGGATTCGGGGGGCTACACGGGATCTTCCTATGTTTGTCCTTTTTAGAGCTTGTTAAAGTTCATTAAAGTTTGAATCCCCATAAGCAAGCAGACAGACAAAGAGACTGACAAACAGACAGACAGGCAGACACGCAGACAAACAAACCGACAGAAAGACAAACAAATAAACAAAAACAAGCATGAATCAACCAATTCAGGATCAAATCACCTCAAACCAAATCGTGTCAATCAATCAGTCAAACAACCAACCAACCAACCAACCAACCAATCAATCAATCAATCAATCAATCACTCAATCAATCAACCAACCAATCAAACAGTCAATCAACCCAGCAATCAATCAAATCAAGCAATCCAACACTCAACCAAACAACTAAATCAATCAGTCACAAATCAAATCAATTCATTCAATGCAACAACTATTCAATCAAATCAGATCACATCAATCCAATCAATCAAACAACAAATCAAGCAACCACGCAATCAATCCAAGGCAAATCAAATCAAATCAACCCGATCCAAACCAATCAAAACAGTAAATCAGTCAGTTCATCAAGCCAATCAATCAAAATAACACAATTGAACAAATACACACACACAAATCAATCGCATAGACGAATCAAAGTGAAACCGTATCATATCACATTTGTCATATCAATCCACAAAATCATATCAGAGCAAGACTAAACAAACAAAACAAATCAAAACACATCAGAACAATCAATCTGCCTGGAAGAAATGCAAGTAATGAAACATCCCCTTTAAACTGAACAGCGACACCAAAAAATCCTTAAGAAAATAGAAGCTAACATCAATCAAGCCAATCGATCAACGTCAATCAACCAATCAAACCAAATCAAATCAACACAAACCACATGAATGAAATCAAAGCTCCATCAAACTAAAACACGTCACATCAATCAATCAACCAATCAATCCTCTCCACTCCACTCCCTCCAACCCAAACCTGCCCACAAATCAAAAACAAGTCAAGCAATCAACTGAACTGAACTGAACTGAACTGAATTGGTTTGATTCATTGATTGATTGGATGATTGATTGATTGGTTGATTGGCTGATTGATTGATTGATTGATTGATTGATTGATTGATTGATTGATTGATTGATTGATTGATTGATTGATTGAATGATTGAATGATTGATTGATTGATTGATTGATTGATTGATTGATTGATTGATTGATTGATTGATTGGATGGACTGATTGATCGGTTGATTGAATTGACCAATGAACAAATGAACAAATGATTGATTGATTGATTGATTGATTGATTGAATGAATGAATGAATGAATGAATGAATGAATGAATGAATGAATGAATGAATGAATGAATGACATGAAATGAAATGACATGAAATGAAATAAAATGACATGAAATAAAATGAACTGAAATGAAATGAATGAATCAATCAATCAATTAAATTTAATTCAATTTAATTTAATTCAATCCATCAATGAATGAATGAATGAATGAATGAATGAATGAATGAATGAATGAATGAATGAATGAATGAATGAATGAATGAATAAATGAAGAAATCAATGAATCAATGAATCAATCAACCAAGCAATCAAGTCAAATCACATCAAAACACATCAAATCAATCGCTCAGCAGGGCTGTTTGCAAATTGTCCTGCTGCTTCCGCAGGCAGGGAATAACTTTGAACCAAACTGACTCATCCAATTGGTAGTTTGCACAGGGGGACTATTGATCCCCCCGAAAAGCTCATATTCTTGCTATTAGGGGTACATAGGGGTAAACGAGTGCTTCAAACGAGTGCATTGCCCATCATTACTAAGCACTGAGCTACTAAGTAGGCTGCTTCCTGCGCACACTCATCGTGACGCTTATGGAATACCCCAGCAAAAAGAAGGTCGCTGAGTGGGTGCTTGGAAGGAGCAACAGGCTTGCCCCCAAGACCCCATTGGCACTTTCGGTACCCATGCTTGATCCAAATGGCTCAAAGCCCTGTGTTCGCTATACTTAGACTGCAGCAACCCGCCTCGTTTGAAACGCTTGCTTTCGCAGCGAGCAAGGGACAAAAACAACCTTCGCCGTGGGTCCTGCACTCTGCAGATCCTGACCCACATCAATACACTAGGCAACGACCAGGTTGTTTAAGCAGAAGTGGCGCTTTCTTGAGTTGGCAAACTTCAAACTTTTTGCTGGCAAATGTCTTTGTCATTTTAGTCAAGGCAACCAGTGGGTAGGCAGGCAAAAGGTGTCTAATGTTGACCCCATACTTATCAACCCCAGTTTGTGAATAGGGGGGGGTGTTCCCCTCCAAGCGTGATGATTCCCCACTAAACACAGCAACACCCCCTGTCAACAAAGGAGGTTGATTAATCTGCGCGCCTCAGCCCGAGCCAATGAAGCCACGTCTTCTTCCGCCCGCCGAGGGCCTAAGGGCGAGCGAGCGCGTGTTTTGCGCGAGCCTGGTGCGATGCGATTGTCTGATGGCACATCAGCGGTGAAAATGGTCCAACTCTACGACAAACATATGGGTGTGCTTCAAAATACACCCCCCTCCACCCACAGAAAAGCAATCAAACAGTTGCTATTTTAAGACATCCATGGGATGTTGGCGATTTCTATACCCATCTATTGCGGAATCCTATGACCATGACGAATTTTGGAACCAATGATTGCATTTTGAAAAAAACCCATAAGCTTTCTTTCAGAGACTGCGAAGGCCCCATAGGATCCTTCGTTTGAGAAAACATACACAAAACGCATCGGGAAGCAGCGGGTTTTTAAACAGATCGACGGTTGAGTTCACGTTCACATGTGGGACAAATAGTAGGGCTGCCGTTGGCTTTCATCGGAGACCATTCCAAACAAGGTGGCTCATTTCCAGATATTCCAGGCCCCTTGCTTTTGCTCTGTTCGCGTGCCATCGAAATAGGTTGATCAACCCTAGAGAGGCTCCCTGGCAATCGGAGGGCTAGCAAGGCAAACATTGGCAGCGAAAAGAGTTGGGGAGAGCATGTCAAAGTGGAGAGCTCTGCCGGATCCACGCAAAAGCCATCCCGTAATCAAGTGGCATATGCCGTCATATTCCCATGTCAACACAGTCAAATTTGCTCGTTTCCCAAAAAAGGATATTGCTAAAAGTCCTCGGATTTTCCATGATAGATTCCCCGCTGCCCGAGAGGGGATGTCGACATGGGGAATGCGGCACGGGAATGCGTCAAAATAGGGGACCCTCCAAAATAGGTGGGTTCCCTATGGTTCCCTGGCCCTTTAAACCAACCCCGAAAGGGGTACCCTCATCTCAGTTGGTGGATCAGCTTTTGTACAGGTATGGAAATGTCATTTGTGCCCTTTTTCGGCGCGATTCGGTCACCCTCTTGAGGGGTACCAACTCCAAAACATGAACAATAGGGAAAACCCCCAAAATCGGGTGGGTTCCTTTTAGCTTCATGAAAGCCAGCCCCAAAACGTGTACCAGCCAAAAAGGCAACGAGGCGACCCGGATGGCGACCCTGCTTCGTTTCATCCATTTGCTTCAGCCTCCTGGCTTTAACAAAAACAAACATTAGTGACGTATCCGCCTTTGAAACCAACAGGTGGAAAAAGAAAAAAAAACAGCCCCGGAAACCCCGTAAAACCCTCCGGAACCCTCCCTGAAAGCTGCGCCAACCAGCTCAAAGCCTATCTGGGCAAGGGCCCCATAGCTTTTAGCTGTTGGGGAACAATAGCCTTTAGGGGTGAAACTCAAAAAGAAGATTAATCTTAAGCAAAGTCGGCGTGTTACTTTTTTAAGGTACCTCTCTGTTTGGTGGCTTTGAAGGCAAACAACAGGAAAACCACCTAACCTGTCCTCAGCTCCCCTGCCAAAAGTTTTTCTTTTAGTGGGCGAAATACGGAAAATCCAACAAAACCAACGAAAAGTATCTAAACAGCCAAGTTGAACCAAATCGCTGGAGTTTCCACCAAGCCGCCATTTGGCTGTGGGTCAAAAATATGTACCCAAAAAGGGTTGCCCTGGTAAATGGAAACTTGGACAACCTGCGGTTGGTGGATTCATTTCGACCCACACCCAGTTCCATGCCTCCATTTGCTTCTTCGTCCCCCGGAAAAAATGACACATATGTCCAGTAGGGATAGGGTCTCTTTAAAACCAACAAGCTAAAATAAGAATAACAAGACTAATAGTACTATGTGTTCTTTGTTAATAGTAATAATATATATATATATATATTATATATTATATATATATATTATATATATATATATATTATATGTATATAAAACAACTTCTGCAACTGGAGGATCTCCGTGTTCGGCTTATCCCCCCCTGTCCGAGGCGCCCAGAACCGATAGATGTTGCCCTTCACCGGGTCGATGGCCCGCGAGCCGGGCGGCGGCGGCAGGGCCGAGACCTTCTTGGCCAGCTCGTTCACCGTCTTGCTGTTGTTCAGGAACTCTTCTGGGCCCGGAGAAAAAAAGAAAAGGAGTCCGCTTCCATGGCTCAAAAAGGGTGGTTTTTTTTGGTTTGGGGCTGGGTGGTCGTGTTCAGGAACTCTTCTGGGACCCCGGAGAGAAAAAAGAAAAGGAGTCCGCTTCCATGGCTCAAAAAGGGTGGTTTTCTTTGGTTTGGGGCTGGGTGGTCGTGTTCAGGAACTCTTCTGGGCCCAGAGAGGGGGGAAGAAAACAAAAAAGCAGGATCCGTGACTCGAAAAGGTGGCGGGGGCAGCTTCCACGACCCGGGTGGCTTTTAGTCTTTTGGTTTGGGGCCGGGTGGTTTTGTAGGAACTCTTCTGGGCCCGGAGAAGAAAAGAGAGAGTCGGCTTCCATGAATGCAGGTGTTTTTTTTTTTTTTTTTTTTTTTTTCCTGGGCCAAGGGAAAGAGTCAGCTTCTATGACTCAAAAAGGTCACAAAGGGTGGGTCTTTCTTTTTTTGGGGTTTGGGGCTGGGTGGTCGTGTTCAGGAACTCTTCTGGGCCTGAAACAAATAATCAGGATCCGTGACTCAAAAAGGTGGTGGGGTCAGCTTCCACGACCCGGGTGGTTTTTATTCTTTTGGTTTGGGGCCTGGTGGTTTTGTTCAGGAACTCCTCCGGGCGAACGGGACAATCGGGGTAGCAGGCTGGAGGTGGGTGTTTTGGGCCTAGGGCTCGTGTTTCCTTACAGCTGGCTTGATTCCCCCCCCAAAAGGGAAACCCCTGGGTTTAGGTCTACCCGAAGGTAGTCAAAAAACGGAACCCTCAGCTTGGGTACATCCCCATACAACTTGCTTCCACCCTGGAAAAAATGATCAAACATATTTTCGATGACAGACTCCCTTTGAAACCAACAGGGGAAAACAAAGAATACTATTAAGCAAATGGAAGTCAGCAGTGACAGATTCCCTTTGAAACCAACAGGGGAACATGACAAAGATTCATTTCAGCCAATGGAAGCTTGACACACAGCACACCCATCGATCCAACTCGGTTCCGAGACACCGAAGATCTCCATCCTCCGCCGCTCCGCGTTCTGGGCGATCACCTGATCTTCCCCCGTGGCGGTCCTGAGCTGAGAGCCGAAGCCCTCGAAGGAAACGACACCCCGCGCTGCACCTTATGTGGTAGCTGTTCGTTGTCAGATCCCCTGGGTCCTCCAGTAGTGAGTTAGAGTAAGTTGGTACCCTCTTTTTTCTGTAGTCTATTTTAGTAGGCTAAGAAGGGCACCTAGCTGGGGGACCTAGACTCCATGCGGTTGACTCTAAACACATGCCTTGTTCAAACCCACCAGAGGGAAATATGTCTGTATATGCATAGCTTCCAGACCAACATCTTCCCAACAGCAAAAAGCCACTCCATGCTTTTGATTCTAAGCCTTGCGGTCCTTGAGGGCTTGAAACAATCCTCAAGCAGCTTGACTCAAGCGAGCGTCGGCTCGCTCACCTCCTCCTCCTCGATCTCGGTCTCCTTGTGGAACCGCCCTGAGGCCACACACCTCACGGAACCGCCTTCCGGCCTTCCCATTGGCTGTAGGGCCTCTCAATGTCACTAGGTTCTCCAGATTTGAGAAGTTAGAACAAGTTGGTTCCCGAGTTTTTCCTGTAGTCTATTCTAGTAGTGGAACCCTCCCCAAAAACTGGGTAGAAGGGCAGAGGTGGGCTTGGTTGACGCTGGAAGGGGAGCCAAAATTTTCAATTTTTAGCAGTGAAGTGGTGGTTGAAAATGAACCCCAATAAGCAAATGTGTAAAAGCATGTTTCCCAACAACAGCCATGTTGCCAAGGGCCCCTCAATGTCAATAGGGGCTAAGCGGCGAAAAAGGGGCTCATCGGCTGTTCCTTCGAGTGCCTTTTGTTCGGGGGTCTCCTCTTTGGGCGGGCGCCTGACAGGCATGGGATTTCTGTGCTCTTAAGCAAATGGAAGGCCACTTCAGGTATGACCCTTGGAAGATACTGGTAGTTGGTTTGGATCGTTAGGCCTCAGGTGCAGCCCAAAAGGACTTACCAGCGGAATTGGGCACTGGCAACGCCTGGGCCCAATTCACCTACATTGATGCACCTCAAAGAGACCTTCGTGGCTCGTAGCCCGGACTGAGCTGGACATGCTTTGATTCGATGAGCAACTGTCATGGCTGTGGCTCAAAAAAGTGGTATCAACATGGCACCTTGGTAAATGGCACCAAAGACTAAAACCCGCGTAACCCCAGCCCTTTAATTTTGAGCCATACCCTCATTGTCTGGAAAGAGTGACTTCCATTTGCAGTAGCACCCTGCTAAACACAAACATGGAGCCGTAAGCTGAGCAAGCTTGATGGCCAAATCGGCGGAAACACCTTGGGAACAATCCTGGAACCTGAAAAGGGAACTGGCTGGGGGGACTTTATCCGGTTCGGGAAGGTGCTTGACCCCCTGTCCCCCCGACCCCCGTCCCCCCGAAAACGCGAACATGCGCGCACCTCGCCCAAAAAAAAAAAAAACGGTTCGACGTGCGAGGTCTAAGGTCAGCACCAAACAGCGAGAATCGCCTCAGAGAAAGTCTCATCTGAAGCTACTGCTTGGATGTTGGACCCAAGTAGGTCACAAGGCAGGTGACATGACCCCGCTTGACATATAGTATAGCCATTGTACGCGATTGAACCTACAAGTCTTGGATGTTTGACCCAAGTAGGTCATAAGCAGGTGACATAACTCTGCTCGACATAATGTATGCTATTGATGCAACCTACAAGTAGTTACTAAGTGGTTTGACCATCCAAACGCCCGGGCGTATAGGCTACTTGGCTCTGTCCCCTCAATGTTCCTGGGAAACTCAGCGAGTCCCCCGGACGGAGCGTGGCTCGAGGCTTTTCACTGCTCTCTTTCGGCCATGGTCATCCCTTGTCTCTTGCGGCTGATTGAATCACAGCCTCACTTCTTGAGTAGATTGGCCAATACAGGTCCAAACTGTTTACTTCCCACCAAAAGTTTCTTCCCAAAAAGTTAGTCCAGAAGACAGTCGCCTAAAAAGTACAGTAGCCAACAAACCGGAGGGGGAACCATCTGGGTTGCGCGCTTTTTCGAGCGACAGGTCTCACCTTTGGTGGGTTTGATGGAAAAGCCATGGAAAAACCATTTGCTTCCAAAACTGGGTCCTCCAGATTTGAGAGGTTACAATAAGGGCACCAACTTTTTTCTGTAGTCTATTTCAGTAGGGGAACTCTCCCCTACCAAAACGGTAAAAGGGCACTACTAAAAAACCTGGAAAAGGCGGGGCTAAGGTCATACAGGCCACCCATGCAAGGTGTAGCCCTGCTTGAGCGGTCCCCCCGACGTGTAATTACCTTTTGGACATGCCACCACAAAAATACTCAATCAAGAATAGAACCAAAAGGCAAAGCCTCAACCACCCGAAAATTGACACATGAGAACCCTGGGACTTCCTTCTCACCGTCTCGTCCTCCCCAAACCCATGACCAGTCATTCATACCCAGCCAGCCAATACCACTTGATTGGTGGTTGCTGCTAGGTGGTTGGCGTCCTCTTGGTTTCCATTGAACAACCATCCCAAAAGACCTACCCATGTTAAGATACATTCAGGTGCCCCAAGCATACAACGGCTGCCATGGTAAAGGCTACGTCCGAGGTTCCAAAGCCAACAAATTTTCCCGAAATGGGTGGCTTGCTGGCTTGCTTTCAGAATTCTCCCAAGAAACCCGGGCCGTGCAAAAACGCTCAAGCGAGCTTGGACGCTCAAGCTGGCTGACAATTTTGCTTGTCGGAAACCAAGTTTCAACAACTGCAGGGCCTTTACATCCGAATTCTCACAAGAAAACCGGGCCGGGCAAGTTGCTCAAGTGAGCCAAGCTAGAGCCCAGCTTTCTGTATATACACGCCTGGAAAACCAATTTTCAACAACTGCGGGAGGAGGGCCGGTTTGGCCCCCGCGAGACGGTAACATTGGAAAACCAAACTTCCGGGAAGCCTGATAGCACAATGATTTGGCTTGAGGGGTTTTAGGTGGGAACCCACCAGAAGGTTTCACAACAAGACCCCGGGATACCTAATTTGAGGTAAACCACGGAATACATAAGGGTGGTGCTCAGTAGAGAACGAAGTCATGGCATGCGGCACAAAGGGCACGTGACAGGGGTTGCAGTTCTCCGGATTCTTTCTGAAGAGATTCGGCAAAGAACAAAAATGGTTTTGGTTGCCCTTAGCATTGGTTGCCCTTAGCAAGGACTGGCTACACAAAGTCTGAACTCTTTGTTTCACCACTAAACCGGTCTTTCAACAAGGCTGAAAGTTCATGAGCTCAAAGAGTTGAGTCATGGTTTTGGGGGATCTTCCCTTAGCTGTCTTCTGCCTGAGAGGAGGAGGAAAAACAAAAACAAAAAGCCGTTCGGAGTCTCGGGCGCCACCAGGGAGATGGTGAAGCTGGCGCCGGCGTAGTGCACCATGGGCGCCAGCTTGCACTCCCCGGCGAAGATGGACTTCGCCGTCGCCACGGTGGGATCGCCCTCGAAGATGCCTGCGGAAGGATCGGAAGGATCGCGCCGTGGAAAAAGGAGCGTGGAGCGGGAGCGATCGTCCTGGGGGAGGGGAGTTGGGTCTGGGACCCAATTCCCTTTGCCTAGTTTCTCCCGAAAAGGACATGGAACCATAAATGGTTCTTTTTTAGGGGTCGAAGAACACCGTGGAGAGGGGGGGGGGTGGGGAAGGAGGGGGGGGGTTGGGGGCGTGGGGGGGGAGGCGGGGGGAAGCATCCCCCAGAAAGAGAGCGTTTCTGGGCCTGGATTCAATTGCATCCCAATTCCATTTACCTAGTCTTCCCCCAAAAAGACCATAAATCGAGATCTCCAGGGGTCGAAATCCCCCTGCCCCAATTCCATTGAGAGGGCGGCGATCACGTTCCCCGCTCCCAAGGAGGGAACCTTTTGGCGGTTGACCATAGGCCCTTTTGTAACCTGTCACACGAAAAACGGAAGGCTCCCGGTTTTCCCGTGGCTTCCATTTTTTGCACGGGCGTTGCTCTGGCCTCAGTTTTCCTGCACCAAAAACGGCGTCTTTCAATGGGTTGCCTCCGAAACATGCAAGGGGGTGGATGTACCCCTGAACACCATCACTTCCTGCATGGACACTTCCCCACACGTATGAAGTCCATAAACTCAGGAAGTAAGAAACTTTAAGTAGGGGGCTGGTGAGAGAACCTTGATTGACATATGGCCATGGGTCAAATTCCCGTACCCCCAGTGAACATCCCAATTCCGACTAAAATAGGTTCTAAAAGGGGTGGTGAATTCACCTACCCCAAAATGGTAGCAATGGTTTTGACCCACAGCCATATTGTGCTTCTACTTTCCGTGCACGTCGCGAGGGCCGCAAATGGGTCCAAGATCCCGACCCGAACTTCCAACCAGCGCTACCCGGCCACGCCGGTCGATTCGGCCGGTCGATCGGTCGCTCGGAATCGAACAACTTGGGCCTCAGAAAGGGAAACAAAGGGACCGGCTGAGCATGTTGTCATCTGCAGCCAAGGTTTGGAGCAACCCCGTTCCAAAGAAAATACCCCTTTGAAACATCACAAAGGGAGAGGTTTCTAAAGAAGCCAAGTCGTGAATCCACAGTGTGGATACGGCCTTTGATCTACTGAACGCTAAGGGAATTCTGTAAAATGCGCCTAAGGGAACCAAGGGTCTCGAACACCAACAGGAACACCACCTTTATTGTTTGTCATTCTGTTCTTTTCTTCTTTCACTTTTTTGGGGGCAGGAACACCACCTTTATGGTTTGTTGTTCTGTTCTATTCTTCTTCTTTCTTTTTGGGGGAGGGTCCGATTCTAACAAGCGACACACCCAACTAACTTCAAATGGCTGGGGGTACCACGAACCTCTCGGTTAATCTTACGTGCTGTTTTTTTTAGCCAGAGACTGGATAGTGTTGAGGATAATGAAATCGACGATTTTTTTGAAAAAAACAAGTATTTCAAGGCATCTCAGTGTGTGGCTGCAAAAATGTCATAAGGTCAATTTCGCTTTGCGTGCGGGCCCGGTAAAGTTCACAGCTCGGGTGCGCCCTGAGAAACCCCCCCTCTTGCCAAGGGGGTTGATGCCTCGCAGGAAGCATCCGTGAATTTCGGGAACCCAAGCGCACCTCCATGCGAAACCAACAAACCAAAACGCAAGAGGCGCAGGCGCAGAGGTGCCCTTGTTGGGAAAATAGATGGCCCTGGTAGTTGATTGAACCACCAGGCAAGCCAGGGCCCCCTTGTTCAACCAAATCCTATGCGCAGGTGTGCTTTTGTTGGCTGATTTTGAAGCGGAATTCTGTTGAGGGGGTTTTCCCACAGTTCTCTACTGGCCCGGTTCAACACAAGGCCTCCCCATGTCTAACCTCGGTCGTTTTGGCAACAAGAGCCTTCGAGTTGGGGGGTATTCTCTGGGGGCCGGCCGGGCCCGCCGTACGTTACCCGGGCGAAAATAGATGCCCTAAATACCAACTGCCAGATGGTAAACTTCTTCTCCCAATATTTGCTGGCCATGGGTCAAAATCCCGTGCCCCAGTGAACATCCCAATCCCCACTAAAATAGACTCAAATGGGTGGTGCACCCACCCCAAAATGGTACCATTGGTTTTGACCCACAGCCATATTTGCCGGGTTTCATCCAAGGTGGTGCAGGATGTTTCCGTCCACACTCGGTTGCTTTCTGCTCCCCTGTTCAACCTTTAGTGGTTCAAAATACGGAAAACCCATTAACTGGCAAAAAGTTAAAGTCCTAACATCCAAGCAAAATCCACCTCCATTTGCTTAAGTTTCCTGGAGAAACAAGAAAAACAGTAGTGATAGATTCCCTTTAAAGCCAACAGGGGGGGGAGGGGGAAAAAACACATATTCTTGACCAAATGGAAGCCCCAGTCTTGGCAGGAATTTGCAACTTGATCGCATCCCCGGCGCGCCTGCAAAGTCCGCCGTCTTGTCGGCGCACTGCCGGGGGAGGATTCGAAGCCCCATCACCGGCGGGCAAGTGCAATGCCTTCGGCTCGGATTTGTTGAGCCCCTTGAACATGGGTTAAGGGGGGGTCCAGAGGGGGGTTTGGGGTGGGGGGGTTGGGGCCCCAAAATCTCAAAGCCCGTTCAAACTTTATCAATTTCTATTAATAGACGCCTAAAAAAAACATGCCGCTTCGCCATCACAAAGTAAATCGCGCCAAGAATAGTCGTGGCAAGGGTCCCGGTGACTGTTGGCGACTAGGGGGTCGTTGGGTATGTTGCTCTTTTTTAGGGGACTCTGCAACCGCATACCTAGAGATTCGTTGCGGCATAAATTTCCGCCGCAAATCAAAAAAAGCGCCTTTTTGGATTTGCGGCATTTCTTCCTGATTTGCGGCGTTTTTTTAGAATGGCGGCAGAACTTGTTTTCAGTTTTTTCTACCCCCCATTTGCGGCGGAAATCGGCGGGAATGCGGCGGAAATCGGCGGGAATGCGGCGGAAATTCCTGGAAAGCAAACGGTGTTGCGGCGTTTTTGTTTTGGTTGCGGCGTTTTTTTGTTTGCGGCCGATTTTTTGGAATGCGACGGGAATTTCCGCCGCAATGCGTTGCGGCAGAAATTTCCGCCGCAAGAAGTTCTAGGTATGTTGTGTTCCACTATTTGGGCCTCATATGTCCAACGTATAAGCGCCACATCTTCTATAGGAAGCTTTCTGCAAATTCGGCACAACCGCTGATGTTGGAAGCTCTGAACCATATATCTCTGGTGCAACTATATCGCCCGGTGCAAGCTAGGCTTAAGCGGTTCGAAGGGGGGGTTGTGCTAGAGTCGTCAAAAATAACCCAATTCCCTTTGGACATGGGAAACACGTGGGACATTTACGGCTTGTCTCCCATAGCCCCCCAAATGGACCATTGATGGCTGGCATTTTCGATTGAACCTCAGATGGGTTGCCAAATCCAGCAATGTTGGGTGCATGTCCAAAGCAAATGCACTGCACATCCCTTGACCCGGGGGGTGCAGGGAGAGGAGTGCAAATAAGCCCTTCATGCAAAAGTTCGCCAAGCATGTGGCAAAGTAGCTGTTGGAGGGTTGACGGGGGGACCCATTCTTTTGATGTGTCATCGCGCCTAAAACTCCTCCTGGCTTTGGTCTTGTCTTTCAGGCCAAGTTTCCCGGTGGCCGTGGGTACGCTATGTTTGGCCATAAAGGGACACGTCTCCCCCCCAAAAAACAAGAGAGAGAAAAGATACAACACAACCCACTGGGCTGTGTAGAGAAGTTGCGGGCTTGCCATCATTCTCCTCATAGGCACAAGGCCTTTTCCGATGGAAAGTTCAATGAATGGCGGGCTTTCCGTCATGGACCCTCAAGCGGCCGGGGGGGCGGGGGGGGGGGGCTATTGGGGGGGCTATCCCTGGAAAAGCCTAGGACTAACCCGCAGAAATCCTAGTCAGAAGGACCTGTTCTCCTACTAAACGGGGACGACCCCTGGTTAGGAATCCGAAGCTAACACTATGTTCAGGTGATTTCTCATATTCGGTATGGAGTAAGCGGTTGAACAGTGTTGGACCCCGACAGTGTTTCCCTCAATCAAATCCACAGCACCAAATTGCCCAGCGGCAAGTCTCGCAGGTCTTCGTCAAAGGGCGCGCAGCCCTGAGTCAACGAACCGGGGAACCATTTGGGGCTACTCCAATCAAAAACGAGCTTTGCAAAAGGCTGATCACCTATGTAATTGTCTTTCTTCCTTTCTTTGTACCTCTCTATCTGCTTCTTTCCAGGTCCAAACAGCGACTGGGTCACATCAATCCCACACCAAAGACCACCCATGGAGTCTGGGTAACGTGCAACCACCCAGCGGCTAGGGACGAAAAAGGCAGGTTCTCTTGAGTGCTGTGTGTTTTGAGGGTGCCATTTCGGGTGGGTTCAAAGGGACATTTGAAACCAAAAGGAAAAAAACACCATTTGGGTGTGGCTCAAAATGAGGGTTACGCAGGTGTTGGTTGTTGTTTCCATTTACCTCCACTTACCTAGAGCCATTTCGGGTACATTTTTTGGAGCCAAAACCGCCATTTCGGTGCTCCCCCAATTTTGACGCATGCTCACGTTGGACGTTGGACCCGGAGAAGTGGGGGGCTGCCCGGGCTGACGCTGGACATGATGACATCTGGGAGCCATGTAGGCAAAGGCCAATTGCGGTCTGGAGAAGCCGTGAAATTGGGGGTGAATAGAGGGGGGTGTCGAAATTAAGAAGGACGGTTTCTCACTTTTTGGGGAAGGCCCAACCAAAAAAAAAAGAGAAAAGAATTCAAGTTGACACTGGCTTCTCCCAATCCTCAGATCCTTCTACCGCAGGCAACGTTTGCCACTTTCCAGCAATCGCATCTAGGTCCTCCAGATTTGAGAGGTTAGAATAATTTGGTACCTTCTTGTTTTCCCTCCTTCTTTTCTTTTTTTCCTGGTTTTGTCTATTTTAGTAGGGTCCCGAACCCTCCCAACCAAAAAAGAAAGGGGTGAGAGAGGTTACACCCAGCTGGGGGACCTGGGCGAGCAAGATCCCGAGGTCGCACCAGCGATTGCAGGCAATGCGCTTCCATATGCTTCCCACAGCACGACCAGATTTTATCTCCAAACTTCCATTTGGTGAAGACCCCTGGAAAAACAACATCCGGTAGGGATAGATTCCCTTCAACACCAGGGGACAATAAAAAAATACTCTTAAGCGAATGGAAGCAGAGGCAACCAACAACAGTACGGGAGGCGTTTGGTGCGCGAAGCGAGTCTTCCTTCGAACCTCATCCGTTCAACCGCTGAAAGAAGGCAACACAACCTTGGCGATGTTCAAACCTAGACCTAGGATTGACTGAGCTGCCCCCTTAGGAACCCAGAAATCAAAGGATTATCTTTTGGAACCTTGTGGAGCCTTAGCTAAAACATAGACAGAGTAGGGGAAAGCGGAGAGATCAAGAGGTCGATTCGCTTTGGACAAGTGAGTTAACATGCAGTCTGCCTAGAAACACATATATGGCTTAGAAACATGCCACCAAGCGTTGACCCAGGTGCGTTGCTCTGAATTTGGACGATTGCAACCTGCAAAATGCAGGTTAAAGAGGCCCCTGTCCGGAAACTCGGGGCTAGCAACAAGAGAAGGGAACATGTCCAAAGCCAAGCTCTCAGATCCACATTTGGGTTCAAGTAGACGGCACAACTTCTCCAGGCTGAGTCATCCCCTTTCCTTCTAACCGACAAAGGGCTCGGAGCCTTTAACTTTCACCCAGGACAAGGCCTTGGAAACCTCCCAAATGGAATCGCTCGTTGGTTTCCCTTTATGTTAGGTAAGTAAAGGGGGTGACTAGCTCACTGGGCGCCTGGAAAAAAAGACAACTGTTTGAGGTCATGACCAAACATGGACCAAACATGGACCAAACAGGGAAAATTAAAAGATTAAAAGCCCGGCTTTGGGCAAGTGAGCTAACCAACACGAGGGACTTCTACCATCCACTTTCAGCAATTGTTAAAACGATGCTCCACTCCTTTCAGGTGAGGGGTTCCCCAGAAACTGAACAACAACATGGTCAATTAAGAAATCCCAAACGCGGAATGGTGAGCTCGTTCTATGTGCTCCGAGTTTTGAGAGGACGTGCAAAAGTCGGTCCAACCCTTGTGTTCGCAAAACTGGTGCTGGTTTGCAGCCGCGAAACTAAAAATGAAGTGAACACCAACAAAAACTATAAAGCAATCATCATGATAGTCTCGCTTCCTGAGTGGATTGGCCAAAAACAAAAGGTCGACCTTTTTTGGCCACTAAAATGGTCCAAACCAAACCAAGTTGTTAAAGTCCATTCGCTCAGGGAGTGAGTACTGAACTAAACCCGTCGACTTGATGTTTATCACTACAATTGTCCAAATCCAAAAAGGGAAAATCAACCATAAACTCATGAGACGACTCATAAACTATACCCCATGCCAAGAACAGCGACCCGTCCGTTCCGTTCTGAGGCGGCGGGCCAGCTTTTTCCACTTCAAGTCCGCCCACTTGCCTTCAGTTGGGCACATGCCTGGCGCAGGTTTCATCATGGTGCCAGATCACCCCCCCCCCACCCACCAAAGTCTCACGGTTCACGACGGTTCACATTTTCAGAATCCTCCACTGGTGAAAGGCAACCTTTGAGAAACCTGGTTTACCATTGTTGCAGGTCAGATGTTGCAGCACAACACTAGTTAAGTATATTTCCGGTGGCGATAGATTGCCTTTGAAGCCAACAGGGGAAATCAAACATATTCTTGGGCAAATGGAGGAAGGTATCGACCCTTTAGATCAACATGGAACCCAAACAACTATCATTCGCCGCTACTTCTAAACTCCATGCACATGTTTTTTTACCAACACACCGCAAGAGTGCGAACCTCCCAAGAATCAACTACCGCTCTGTCGTTTTGTGCAGGAGTCTCATTTTGGGGAACCCATTTTCGAAGTTTCATGTTTGGGTTTTGACCGGACCCCCCCAAGGAATCAGAGGGTGGACCCTTTCCTGCTTGACCACTTTGCCGATAAGGATAAATCCACCGTATCGAATAAGAAAAATACATCAACCAAGAAAGTCTAAGCCCTGACAATGTCAATTTCCCACTGTGAGAATCACCAATTCTAGCGAATCCAAGGATTAGTCGTGGTTCTCCAAATGTATCTGAACACTATACTCAGTTGTTCAGTGGCCGGGAACCCTTTTTGGGGAAGACCATTTTTAGTGGGGCAGCCACAAAAAAAAAGGAAAACGGGTGCCACTGAACAACTAAGACTATAAAGCAAACCCCGAAACTCCCCAAAACAGGCGAGTCCGTGAGCACCATTTAGCACTTGTTGAGAACTGAACATACCGGGATCTGCATACCGGGATCTGCATTCTTCACTCGGTGTACTGGGGCATCAGGATCGCTTCTGCCTTCTACTTACAACTGGCGCTTCTGTCTTTTTTCCTACTTTTCAAATCTGCACAACAGCGATTCTCAAGAAACACCCACAAACAACAACAAGCCAAACAAAAACAACATCCTGATTCTTGTTTTCTGTGCGGTTTCTGCGAGCATTTGCTTGGTTCTTCTCCTGACACGGAGAGGAAAAAACACACACACACACACACACCAAAACAACACACACACACACATACCAAAACAACACACACACACACACACACACACACACACACACACACACACACACACACACACACACACACACACACACACACACACACACACACACACACACACACACACACACACACACACACACACACACACACACACACACACACACACACACACACACACACACACACACACACGCACACGCACACGCACACGCACACGCACACGCACACGCACACGCACACGCACACGCACACGCACACGCACACGCACACGCACACACACACGCACACACACACGCACACATACACACGCAACACCCACCCACCCACCCACCCACACCCACACCCACACCCACACCCACACCCACACCCACACTCACACACACACACACAGAGACACACACACACACGCACACACCAACACAATACACACACACACCAAAACAACACACACACACACACACAACACACACACACACACACTCGTGGCATCCGATGTGAAGAAACTACCGCTAACAAGTCAAACAGATTGGAATGGATGGTGGTGTATCTTCTTGGAAATGTAGCGGGTAACCCCGTTTCCCAAACAGGGCAGTGTCCCGAGCACGTGCCATGTGCATGTGCCATGTGCATCCCGCAAACTAGAAGCCAGATGGGAACGCCACACAGCTAAGGACACATGCTAGAGATAGAATAGGAGTGCACTAGGCTTATGTTGATGCTCGAGAACTGTAGTAACTATGGCAGTTTTGTCGCTAAACCCTTTGAAGCAGCCCTTCGAACCGAAAGGGCAAAGCGGTATCACGACCTGTCTTGGCTGGAAGTAGGACCCCAGCACAGAAATATATGTTTGCCTGGTTAGTGGAAAGCAAAGGGAACCCCCCCCCCCCGGCCCCCCCCAAAAATAAAGGGACTAATTCTGGGGAAGAACAACTGTTTAGCCCTGCTTGAGTGGTAGGAAACTCCAATATCACTCCCCCCAAAAAAGGTTGAACCTGGGTTAAAAAAGGGCACCAATTGCTGGGGGACCTAGTGCTTCGGCGGTTTTTTTCCCTGCTTTTCACCTGCACCGCCCATCGGGCCGTCCCCGTCCCCGCACCCCCCCCACCCTTGTTGTTGCGCTTCATGTCCTGCCGCCGTTTCGTTTCGACGCTTGGAATGGGGACCTTTTTCCTGGAGATGCAGGCGGGCAGGTCCCCTCAAGCCCACAAAAAGCCGGGAAATCCAGGGATTTAACCTACACTTTAACTTTACTTTGTATTTTTGAAAATCAGGGGTTTTCCACTAAACCCTGAACCCCAAACAAGTCTTCTTCATTTTTTCCTTTTTGCGCAGGGGGGTCAACAGCAACCAAGCATATAGCATCCAGAATGGGGACCTTTTGTCCTGGAGATGAAAGGCTGACAGGCCCAACGGCGCAACCCAAAAAAGCTGGTTGGTCTCCTCAACTTGGACCACAAAACGTGTCAGGCTACATAGGGCAGACCCTGTGTCTTGGCAACGGAGCCAAGTGGGTTTTGAAACGTTTTATGTGTGGCGCAAAGGGACACCAAGAGGAAACCAATGCACTTGGAGAGACAAAGCTTCATGCTTGTAGGGGTACCTTCCATTTCCATTCTTTCCAGGGATCCTTCTTTTCAGGAAACCATCAAAACCCCAGGGGAAACAGATCCGGTTTTTGAAAAGAACGATGGTTGAAAAGAATGGAAAAGGAATCAACCCCTAGAATTGGAGTTGCTTTGGCCAGTCGCAACTGGGCTGCTCCCAGGTCCGCTGAAAGTCGAGGTTTTTTTGCGGTTTTTGAACTCCTGCAGAGCTAAGCATGCAATGTAAAAGTGCAACTTCTAAGGACCAATTGCAGTTTCCCATGTCCAAAATCCCAAGTCCAAAAACGCAGTGGTTGCGGGATGGTAGGGTGCCCTCCTTTCGCTGGACCCTGGATCTCTCAGGCTGGTGAGTGCCTCTTCGGAGCGGCCTTTGAGTTGCACTGGTCAGCCTGTTGCCACAACCCGGGGTCCCTAGCAGAAATTCGTGGCCTGGGCTCTGGGAAGCCCAAAGGAACAAACATACACATTTACCCTCCAAACGAACCTGCGAGAAGCTAAGCCGCACCCATATGAGCCAGTGAAAAAACCAAAAACAACAAAAACGCGGCCTTTTTCGCGTTTGTGTCAGTGGGGTTTTGCGGCTGAAAATCCGCGACACGGCCAAATTCCCAGAAAATTGAAAGGGTCCTATGGCCATGGTTCCCTGAATAGGAATCATTGTTTGGAAGGATCCCCCAGATGAAAAAGACCACCCCTGTCAACCCCAAGGAACCGATGCCTTCTGACCCATAGTGTGGCTCAAAATTCAAGAGCTGGGGCAAAGCGCGGGTAGTCTTTGGTTCCATTTCCCTTTTGGTGCCATTTTGGTACCACTTCTTTGGGCCACATCCATATCCCACTTGGCTCTTACCCCCCTCTCCTGCAGCATGAGCTTGAGATTGCTCCTCAGCTTCACGTCGCGCTGCTCCATCATGCCGAAGATGTTCTGGCCAAAGGGCGCGCTTGAATTGGACGCGCGCTTGGTCAAACAGGCGCTTGAGGAAAATATGTGCATGGAAACAAACCATTCAGGAGGATCCCTCATTTGGAGACAAATCCATAATTTGACAAGCCTCCCTCTGATTCTCACTTCTTGAGAGGATTGACCCAAAAACCCGACTTTGTTGTTTGGCACTAGAATTAGCTTCCATTTGCGGAAACGCATCCTGGACAAATAAACATATTTCCATGAGTGATAGATTCCCTTTAAAGCCAAACATTGAAAATAAACAAACACATACTCACTTCAGCAAATGGAAGTTAATGGTCTTCCCACAACGCATGATGTTCAGGAACCCAGGCAGTGAAGAAATTTACATTCGGAGAGAACACACGCCCATTGGGTCAACCAGCTTCTCTTAATATTGCACGAGAGCTTTGAACACGAATCACGCAAGGGGCAAACAAAGTGTGCTGCTTTAAAAACTAATTTGTTGAATCATGGTGGGGCCAGATCATTACTGGCATGGCTCGCCCATGATTACTTCTGGAAACAAATGAGAACATATCTCCAGTAGTAAA